AAAAACAAACCAAGGGATGTCCAAACACAAAGCAAACCAATAAGCTTGGTTGCTGTTGACCCCCCTGCAAAAAGTTTAACTTTTTGAGGGTTTAGTGGAAAACCCCTTGATTTCCCAAAAAGTTAAAGTCTAAAGATCCAACCCAATAGCAGTTAAGTGAGGGGTTCTCGAAATTTGGGTTTCCCTGTCAATACCCACCAACAGTGCGTCCGAAATCTCTGTTGAGAAGCTAAATGGCTGTGGCTCACAAACATGTACCCAAAATGGCCCCCAGGTAAATGAAAACAAACACCAAAATCTGCCTAACCCTAGCCAAATCATCCAGCCTAGAGCTGCTTTGGACGACCTTTGGAGCCGGTTTTGCGACGATCAGACTTAATTTTTGAGCCACACCCAAACGAACGTCTCCTCCATCCTTCTGGTCACCGCCCTCGTGCCTAGTGGGAGAGCTCCGACAGGGAGATGGCACCTCCATGATGGAGTGGCACTCCTCCCCAGAAAGGCTCCGGAGCATAGAGCCAAACCATGGACTCCCATGGACATGTTCTTTCTGAAAACATGCTCTAAGCAGAAGCTACAACTCAGGAATTCAGTGCAAATATAGGTGGCCTTTGGTTAAAATCCATGGGTTTCCCTGGTAAATGAAACAAAACCCAAAATCATGTGGAACCCATCCAGTTTCAACCAAACTCACCTAAACAGGACGCCTATGGTCTGGCGTCTTGCAGTCGCCAAGCATCTATCATGGGGTCCTGAAAACGTGTTTTGGCCACGTCTCATAGGGGCGGCAGTAAGAGTGATGCACAAGGGGCCAAACCTATCCTCTGCAAGAACCTATCTTTAATTCCCTCGTTTGCGCTCTTGATTGGAATGTTTGGGTACGCTGAAATCCAAGCAGATAAAACAGGAAGATGTTCCCCCCAGAAGTGAAGGATCCCCTCTCAAAGGCAACACCCTCTATCAACAACTGGTGATTCCTAATCAACCAGGGGGTAAGCTTGTTGCTCCCCCCTCAACCCCGGGCAACCCTTTGCTAACCCCTCGCAACACGTTCATTGAAACAGTCTCGTTCCTAAAACCTGAGTGGCTTCCCTGAGCCAACCTCCCAAAACCTGAGTGGTACTCTTCCTCTGAGCAGCAAATCCACAGCCATATCACTCATTGATTCATCCGAGCTATGCCAAGTCCAACAGATTCTCATCCCCGTCAGGTCCCAGGCCTGCGCTGCCTTCGCAGCCCGCTCCTGCCACAGCAAGGTCTGGACCGCAACATTGCGGCACCAACTGCAAAGAGGTGTATGCGTGTCAAAATCCGAGGGGTACCTTCCATTTCCATTTTTTCCAGGCGTCCTTCTTTCTACAACCCAAAACCCTGACGAAATGGCGATCGGCTTTTGAAAAGAACGATGGTTGAAAAGAATGGGCAATCAACCCCTAGAAAAATGCTCAAAGGGAAGGCAAAATGCTGGTATGCTTCACACAAGGGAGCGTTCAAGCAAGTCAGCTGGGAAAAGGCGTCTAGTTTCGGCGTTTCAAAACACATCCTGCCGGCTCTTCAAATCACCCGGCCTCTTCAATGGCGGTCTGTCTCCTTTCCTTCTCCAATCTTGCCAGCCTCTCTTCTTCGCGCTGAGCCTGGCAAAGAAGCCATTCACCGTTGCCGAGCCCAACTCTTCTGAAAGCAGTCGTACCTCTGCAAGCAATGATTTGCTCATCAGAATTTACACCAAATCAAGCTCAGCTGGGATTTGCAAGTGGCAGACGACGCCGTTTTACTAGCATGACCCTCCAAAGGCAAGAAACATGGCCAGTTCTGGGAAAAGTATGTCTAATCCCCCTCTCACTAGGCCTCTTCAATGGCTGCCTGTCTCTTTTCCTCCTCCAATCTTGCAAGTCTTCTCTCTTCTTCGCGTTGGGCCTGCCAGACAAGCGATTTGCCACTGCCAAGCAAACTCTTCTACAAGCAAAGTCATACCTCTGCAATGATGATTGTTCATCAGACCTTACGTCGAATCAAGCTCAACTTGCATACGCAACTGGCAAACAACACCGTTTCATCAAACGACCTTCAATAACAAGAAACATAGCCCGTTTCTGGGAAAAGCAAGAATATCTAGTCCCCTCTCACCAGGCCTCTTCAATGGCTGCCTGTCTCTTTTCCTCCTCCAATCTTGCAAGTCTTCTCTCTTCTTCGCGTTGGGCCTGCCAGACAAGCGATTTGCCACTGCCAAGCAAACTCTTCTACAAGCAAAGTCATACCTCTGCAATGATGATTGTTCATCAGACCTTACGTCGAATCAAGCTCAACTTGCATACGCAACTGGCAAACAACACCGTTTCATCAAACGACCTTCAATAACAAGAAACATAGCCCGTTTCTGGGAAAAGCAAGAATATCTAGTCCCCTCTCACCAGGCCTCTTCAATGGCTGCCTGTCTCTTTTCCTCCTCCAATCTTGCAAGTCTTCTCTCTTCTTCGCGTTGGGCCTGCCAGACAAGCGATTTGCCACTGCCAAGCAAACTCTTCTACAAGCAAAGTCATACCTCTGCAATGATGATTGTTCATCAGACCTTACGTCGAATCAAGCTCAACTTGCATACGCAACTGGCAGACAACACCGTTTGATCAAAGGACCTTCAATAACAAGAAACATGGCCCGTTTCTGGGAAAAGCAAGAATATCTAGCTATCACTAGGCCTCTTCAATGGCTGCCTGTCTCTTTTCCTCCTCCAATCTTGCAAGTCTTCTCTCTTCTTCGCGTTGGGCCTGTCATGCGAGCCAGCGGTCGCTGTCAAGCCGTCCCCAAACTCAACTTGGCCTGACAAGGTGAAAGGACTTTGCAAGCACCAACATGGCTTGCCCGAGAACGTAATCAGATGGCCATGGGTCAAAATCCCGGTTACCCTAGTGAACTTTCCAATCCCCACTAAAATAGGCCCTAAAATAGGTGGTACACAACTCCCCCAAAATGGGATCAACCAAAACGGTTTTGACAGCCACAGCCAGATCATTTTAATGCCACGAGCTGGAGCACGACACAAGACATGGGCGAGCCATGGGAAACTCGAAACCTGGCACCACTCAGCTGGGCATGGGAACCGAGCCGTCGCCTACCGGTTCGCGACGTGTGCTTCGGTTTCGACCAAAAACGCCTAGTGGATGTTCATGCTGCCACTGCGAAGCCAGAAATATGCACCACCGAAAAGGGAAAAAAAGACAAAAGGAATAGCTTCTGGTTGCTCAGGTGAGGCATAAAGCATATACAAGCCATGATTCATGTTATGTCCTTTCCCCAGCCATGTTGAGGTGTTCCAAGCATTACAAGTCAGAATGTCATAACCTCCCGGAACAGAATTAGGGATCCCAGTTGCCCAGTCACAGGCAGTTTTGGGCTTGAGCACCTTTTACTCGGAACAAAACAAGATCCACTGCACAGCTGGCCACACCAAGGCTTTTCTGCGAGCCTTTTCCACTCAAGCACCCAGTCACAGTTTGTTCACATCGCCAGTTCCCCAAGTCTTCAAGTCCCAAGTCGGAGCCTACATAGGAGCAGCATCATTTGGGTGTGTGTCAAAATAGGGGAACCCTCAAGGTGGCTTGCTGTTGATTTCCCTTTGAACTACCCCCAAAGAAGGTACCCTCAAAAAAAACACACCGATCTTCTCTTCGACCCCACCTCCACTTTGCAGCACGCCCAGCTGTGAAGCCTCAGGGTAAACGGCCGGATCGAGCGAGTGAGACGGCCCAGCGAGATGGGGGGCGAGGCCCCACTCTTTTGCTTCCACTCGGCTACCCCAGGTAAAAATATTTCGTAATCTATGCGTTTGGGGCGGGGGCAGGGGGCGGGGGGGACCAAAGTCCGGACAGAGCCAGGCGAGCCAATCCCATGAAGGTTGCAAGACCAAAGTTCTTCCCGCTCTCGTGCGAATTTGAGCTCTGAAGAACACCTTGGCCTTCCCCACACCCAAGGCCTGGTACGCAACCGCGAGAACATGTGCAGAGCTCTCTGCAGCCGCTGCGCGCGTGCCTGAACACCCCCCAAAAATGTCCGTACTACCGTACTTGTGTATGCATGCATATGTATACGTAGAATAGTGTATGTATATATATATATATATCATTATTATACAAACGATGGCGTATGTATATATGTAGAGAGCATTGTGTATACTATATATACACACATACCACTATGTATGCATGCATGTATGTATGCATATATGTATGCATGTATGCATATGTATGTATACATAGACATTTACATACATATATAGTATATAGCTGTTATATGTAATACGCCATACGAATACGGATATCTGCGTATATCAAAGTGAGCTTTGGAGTATTTGCACTTGCACACTCCGAATCCCAGGTCTCTACCCCCTTGCCCATGCGCTGTGGCCCCATCAAATCTACAATTGTCACAATAACTCCAAAACCCGAAATAAGACTTGGGTCTCCAAGAAAGGACCTTCATGGTGAGCGCGTGTTGCCATGTGAGCTCGCCACAAGGGAATGTCTCCAAAAAATGGACCCGCTTTTGTTTTTCAAAGGGAAACCAAAACTAGGTCCTCCAGTAGAGGTTAGAATAAGGGTACCCTTCTTTCTGCAGTCTATTTTGGCAGGGGAACCTTCCCTCAAGAAAGGGTAAGAGGGCAGACCGGCCATTTCAGGCCCTTGCGCCTGCACCATCAGCCTCTGCGCCAGCCAAACTGCCCGAACGGCACCACGGAAGCGGCAAAGTGCGCGCCGGCGCCGCTCGCGCACCCGCAGCCTGCGGGTTGCTTGCGGCTTGCCGTCCAAGCGTAGTGAGCCATGGGCTACTTCTTCTATTTGTTCTACTTGGGTTTTCCGGGATGTTGAGGTGAGCTCCTCTCTGCGCCTCCCAAATGGACAGTAGACCACCGAAGTCTTGGGGAAAAGGTTTACCTTTGAGCCTCCGGGCACCTTTGGTCGGCTTTGGGCAAGTGAGTCATAATCAGAACCTGGTACAAAAATGGTGAACCCAAAACCATGTAAGGAGTTGAAAAGGCGGAAATATCCGCAGCCATTTATGGCAAGGGGCTTGCCCCTTACTAACCTTTATCTACCCGGGTTTTGATTGTGGCTCAAGTGAGTAATTGGGGACCACCGGATGAACATCGTACTTGCCCGTTCGCCCATACCTCTTTTTCCGGCAGGGTTCTGATAAGGGTTTCGTCTCAAGAAGGGGCACGTTGCTATGGAACGAGGGTGAGCAGACCATTTTATTGTAAAGGCTACCTTCTGATTCCACGTTTGTCGGACATCTCTCACATGTTCGGACGAGAAATAAAAGAAAAGAAGAAAAAAAGAAAAAAAGAAACGATACAACCGAAGATCAACCCAGCCAAGCCTCAACTTTTCGTTTTCAGCCCCCCCTGCCTCGCCGCCTGAAGCTGCGCCCTGAGCCTCCCAAGCAGCAGCCCGCGGCTGGCCAGGGCCTTCTGGGCACGAGCTGCCCGGAGGCTGGCCAGGAACCTCCCGGCGAGTGACGGGGCCCCAACCCGAAGGCGAGGCAAAACTTGCTTGCTGCAACGACCCCTCTGCAAAAAGTGTTTAACTGTTTGTGGGTTTATTGGAAAAACCCTTGATTTCCCAAGCCACTAAAGTCTAAAGATCCAACCCAAGAGCTTTCAAGATTTTCTTAGATTCGGGCTGCTTAATGTTCAGACAAATCCATTTGGGGCTTTGCTTTTGGTGTCCCTCAAAAAATATCCAAAAACCTAAGGGTACCTTCCATTTCCATTCTTTCCAGAGAACCGGATCTTTCTAGAACACCTCAAGAAACCCAGTGACAACGACCGGTGTTTGAAAAGAACGATGGTTGAAAAGGAAGGGGAATCAACCCCTCGAAGTTTCTGATGAATTACACTCCTGCAACTTCGCATGCAACCCCAAACTCCCCCCCCAACTCTCGGAATCTCTTGTTGAAAACCATCGTTCTGGAGTCACAACTAGACCTGCCGCGTGAATCGCATGGCTTTTCCCATCCCCTTGGCCCCTTGCAATATGTATATATATATATATATGTATGTAATACACACACGCAGGTGTGCACAAAAACAAGGGTACTCCAAAATTGGCATGGTTCCGTTTGGCTTCCCTTTAAACCACACCCAAACTGGTACCCTCAAACAAAAGGCACGCAAATATCAAAGGAATCAACCACATAGTCAACAAAGAAGCCACGAAATCGTCGTCTTAAGCCCCTTGGTAGGTTGTAAATGTGGCTTGCTTTTTGTTTCCCCTTTGCCACTCGAAAAAGGCCTCCTTCTTGAACGACAAAAGTTGTTCCAAATGAAAGGGTCCTAAGGGAAGCAACAACAAAAAACCTGGGTGAGCCAGCGGGCTGGATGGCTGGGTGGCTGGGTTGGCTAGGAACAAAGAACGAACAACTGGAGCAGAACAAATAAAATTGATAATAATAATAATGATGATAATAGTAATAATATTAATTACAATAATAATAATTAATAATAATAATAATCATAATCATAATAATAAGGATAATATATTTTCCTTTAAACAAGCAAAGACACAAACAAACAAACAAACAAACAAACAAACAAAAAAGACTGCGGCACAACAAAGCAAAAACAAAAAAGACAACGAACCGCATTCCTCTTTTGCAGCTCAGCGCCCCGGTCGCCTGGGCAGGTAGAGGCACAGCTGCACCGCGTGCCTGGCGCGGACCCAGCGCTTCCGCACGATCCGCCGCACGATGCGCCGCAGCTTCTCGGTGTCCGGGGCGGCGCCTCCCAGGCGGGGGTTGAAAAATCAAGGGGGGGGGGGTTGGGGGGGGTGGAAAAATAGTACCACGATTTCAAAGAACACATGAATATTGGACACCAAATACTACTGTTTTTTGTTTGTGAAAGAACGACAAAAGCAAAAATGATGGGACCCGTGGCTACGCAAACCCCAACCTTGGGGGACTCCAATCGTGAGCCAAAAAGGAAACGACGCCCAAATGAGTCACAATCAAAACCTGGCACAAAAATGGTGAACCCAGAACCATGCTTCAAGAATTAGAAAGGCGGATATCCGCTCCGCAACTATTTCTGGCCAGGGGGTGGTCCCTAACCGGATCACCCATCCCCGAAGCGGTCTTGACGTGGCTCACATGCCTTGTGAGCCTTGGGAACTTTGGGATGGAAACCCGACATCCGTTTCCACATCACCCAAGGAGGCCCCGGGAAACCGAAGTAATCGAGAACCCGAGTCGAAAACCACCAAAAGGGGCGTCCAAAGCGTCCAAAAAGGGGGAGCCGGATCCTTATCCCGACCTTCTGGACGGGTGAAATGACAAACCCAAGCCTCTGGCAAGCAAAAGTGGACTTCGTTCTGACGCCGAAGTTCGAAGGTCGGGCTATGTTGATCACCGTGCCGCAGTAGGGGGCTTCCGTTTGCTCCATCCAGGTGATTCGTTCCCTATTCTCTTCCTGCATTTCCCGAATGGTCTACCTTCTTTCAGAAGGAAATGGAGAATACCTGCAAATGGCCGATTCCCAACCCTAAGGGTACCGCCTTTTGGTGTATCAAAAGGAGAGCCACGTGGGTCTCCACAAATTGAGCATTGATTCTTTGATCCAAGTCTAATCGAACATATCATTGAGCAACCCCCTTGGTTTCATTTGGGTGTTTCTTTGGCACAATTTCAAGGCAACACCATATGTGTAGTTCGAGTTAAATAGGATTCGCCCTTGAATCTGAGGATTCATTCCGTTTCCATTCTCTTCACCCGTCTTCAGATACCACCGCAGCAGGTCAACCGCTACGGATCTCAAGATTGGAGAGGAACCCTCTCGGACACCTGGCGAAATGTTGGGTCCGTTTCAACGCAGGAGGTTTGGGGACCATCCCAAGTAGACCCCTTGGAACGTCTGACCGACCAAGGCGGGAGAACGTGAAACCAAGGCCTCATCCCGACTAAAGCCCTGCTTGGGAAATGTCGAGCTGACCTCATCCGAAGGCGAAAAGAACGTGAAACAAAGGCCTTGACCCATGTTTGAGAACCTTCCCAGTTTTGCAACGGTCGGGCTAAAACCCTGTTGAAAACCTTGCCCTCTACCTGTCCGGTTCAGCCCCGGTCACACCTCTTACCTGCTGGCCGGCGCACACTCATTTGGCCGCCGATTCTCCGTTGCATTCTGCTCCCCTGCCAAAAGTTTAACTTTTGGTGGTTTAATTGGAAAACCCATTAGTTGGTAAAAAGTTAAAGTCCTAACATACAAGCAACATGCACCGAAGGATTTGTGTTGGTTGTAAATGGATGTAGAAGCCAACCTATGAGGAGGAGGGCTTCTTCCCCCCTCGTTAGTCTCCCAGCTTTCGGCTTTTTTTTTCTGTTTTTTTTCTTCTTCTTTTCCTTTTTTTTCGGCAGCCGCATAGGTCAGTGGTTCTTAGGTTCGGGCTTTAGGTGTCGAGTCCGAGGCTTTGAGTTTAGGCTGAGGGTTCAGGGTTTATGGCTGACGGTCTACACCTTAGATTTCTTAGACTGGTCGTCGCAAACAAAACGGACCTCAGGCAGTGCGGTGCATGGCTGATGAGCGGATTTTGTGGGCTTTTATGTCACAGCGAAAAAGAGAAAAGCTCATTTCTTCCTTTTTGGGGCCCCCTAATTTGCGTATGTCGGTGTTTGAGTGCTTAAAGTTGAAAAGGGGAACACCAAAAGCCGGGTATGTCGGTTTTCGAGGCTACCCTTTGTGGTTGAACAGGGACCCCCAAGCGACGCCCGCGTGCCCTCGTGCCGCCTGCAGAACGGAGGTCCTCAAGGGCCTTCAGCTGCCCAGCCCGGAGGAAGAGCCGCGACATGCCCAGCACCCAGTCCTGGACTTGGTGCAACGAAAACCCGGGCGCCACAAGAAAAACTCCGGACGGCGCGCACGAAAAACGCCGTGGAAGAGCCGAAACACGCCACAAAGAGACGCACCTGGGTTCCTCGAAAGAAACGGCCAGCCCACACATAAGACATGAAGTGGGCAATTTCCTCCAGAACGGCTCAAGAATCCGGGCTCACCTAGCAAAGTGGTCAACCCAAACTGGGCCCCTTGGGATTTGAGATGAAAATGGTCCAAGCTCCAGCAGATTGAGGGCGACTGATGAACGTGAAAGGGGTTCCGGGTTGCACCCCCAAGGTCCAGAAATTGATACGGAAAAAGCGGGGGGCAAAATCCTGGCGATGGCTCGGAGATTGGGATGGCGGGGGGGCAATCCTCGCGAGCCACTCTCGAGTTGCTCTTCATAAAAACGTCACCCCCCCCCCCCCTTCGCCCCCCGCCCCGTCCACTAACAGGGGGTTCCCTGCAGAGAAACAGCCCCTGGAGGAAAATGGCCAGGCCCCCCGCTTGCAGTTCCCTCCCAACCTCGGAGCCCCCAATTCCGTGCCATTTCTCGTCGGCCCCACCTGAACTCGTGTTGGAGCAGTGGAAAAATCCATATGGCTCTGGCTCAAGAAACCGGAATTCCAAATTGGGTGACCCGATCGACAAGTGGAAATGTGGACTTCAAAACCTGCGTTTTGCCCCCCCGTGTTTCATTTTGAGCCACACCCATATGGCCATATTGACCCCACCTCCGTGGGCACGTCGTATGCCAGCAGGAGAGCTTCAATGAAGGTACGAGTGCCGTAGCGGTGGAAACTCTCAGGCAGCAAACTGCCTGGGCTGCAGCTTGCACAAATGCTCGTGTCTTGTTTTGGACGTGGTACCCGTTTTGGGTACCTTGCAAGGGGAAAGGGATACTTGATGGTAGCCACTGGGGATTGATTTTTAAGCCACCCATTCCAGAGGGTCTTGGCCTTGGAGACAGACCCATTTGGGTGTGGCTCAAAAAATTAAACAGCTCGGGCAAACCGCAGCTTTCAGTCTTTGGTTCCATTTCCCCAAGGTGCAACTTCCCTTTCTTGGTCTCCAATTTATGTGAGCCACTGCGATTTTGGGGCCCGGTTACGTGTAGCCCGAGCTCCCTCCGTGGACGGCGACGGCATGCACGCCGAGTGCCAGAGCCGAGCCGAGCCACGGAAGCGAAGCATCTCGTCGAAGCGGCAGCGGTTGGGGTAGCCATCGTGCATGATCTTCACCAGCTCCACCGTGCCGCACCTTGCAAGAAGACTCTTGCGGGTGAGAGACGCAGCGAAGGAATCGATCCCTCGCTTCCAAAACCCGTGGCGATTCCCTGACCAGCAAGTGAAACCAAAGGGAAACCAGTGAAACCCAAAGAAAAACCAAAGTCAAACCAAAGAAAAACCAACCTCAAACCCAAGTGAGAGCAAAGTAAGACCCAAGCCCAAAGAGAGCACAAAGGGAAATCAAAGTGAAACCAAAGGGAAACTAAAGGGAAACCAAAGTAAAGCCGAAGGAATCCGAAGGAACGCAAAGCGAAGCCGAAAGGGGACACCAAAGTGAAAGCAACAGGAACCAACGGGAAACCAACGGGAAGGCAAAGCGAAGTAGACCAAAGGCAAGCAAAAAGAAACCAAAGCAAAGCCCAAAGGAAAACCAGAGTGAACCCAAAAGGAAACCAAAAGGAATCCATCGGGACACCAGAATGAAGCCGACGGGAAACCAAACGGAATCCAAAGTGAAAGCAAAAGGAACCAAAGTGAACCCAACGGAACACCAATGTGAAACCAAAGGGAAACGGAACCGAAGGAAACCACAAGGAAACCTAAGTCGTCTATCCCAAACGGGCAGAATCGGTTTTCCTTTTGGAGCAAAGCCCAAGGTAGACCCAAACCCAAAGTCGATTTCCAGCACGACCTGAGCTTCGGACTGCACAATCTGGTCCAGCACGAGGCGTTCATCGAAGACGCCGGCTTGCTGGAAATCGTTGGGCTTGAAGCAGCCTCTGCAAATCACTTGAGTCACATCCGGGTTTCGATTGTGGCCCGCTCGCAAATCAAAACGCACAGACTCATTGGATAACTCTGCACCGGCTGGGACTTCTTGATTCCGCCTGCAGAATCAAAGAGCACTCTATCGGACGGAGCACGTAGGGGTTCTTTTCATGAGGGGCAACCACCCGCCAGGTGCGGCCCAGGTGGCGAATGTAGTGCAGGTGGCAAACGCCCAGCGTCTGCAGCAGGTTCTCGAGGTCGGAGCAGTACTTCTTGCTGATGGAACGAAACGGTGCCTGACAGGACGGTGTCCTTTTAGGTTTGAAATAGATGGGTTGGTAAAGGATTAAACCACCAGGTAAACCAGTGCCATCGATTTTTCGGCCGAAACCACTAAAAAGGACACCGAGGGGTGCCTGACCACAGCGCCTAGCTCTGGCACGGAAAAAAAAAGAAGTTGGCGGACGGATCCTTACTTTGGGCCTGGAGTTTGCTCTTTTAGGGACCTGGTCAAAACCCTTTTCAGGATACAAAACATATTGGAGGCCGCCAAAACAAGCAGGGCCCCAAGAAATCTGTACCAACAAACTCTGTTGGAAGTGACCCTTCAATGACCGCTTTCAGCAATGCACCATGCTCAATACTCCCCTTTGTCAGTCATGGGCATAGTTCCCTTAGTCCAAACCTTTAACGAACAATTCTTGTCCAAGTTCCCTACAAAACAGCTGATCATCCCTAGTAACCCCAAACACAGCAGGTCTCTTGAGCATGGCGTTCATGCTGTCGCTCTGTCGCCACGTGCACCTGCCTTGCCCGGGTCGTCATCTTTGAGAGAAGCCACCAGAGCCACTGTGGAGTCGCCTGGGTGATGCTTGCATGCGCGATTTGTGTGCCCAAATGGCTCATCTCCATGAGGCAGTTCAGACATCTCAGCACTTCCCCACTGCAAATTTGAACTGTAAGATGCATAGGTGTCCGCTATGGGAAAATAGATGGACCTGGTGGTTGATTGAACCACCAGGTAAACCAGGGCCCTCTATTTTTCAAGCAAATCAACCAAAAAGGACACCTATGACACCTATGTACCTCTCCACCCCTCTACTAGCTTCATTATTTTCCCATCAAAGTCACCCCCGGAGTGGTGGGTTAAAGGGAAACAACCCCAAATCAACCAAAAAGGACACCTATGCTAAGATGCCTTGCCACATCAATAAACATCACAGCTGCTCGACCGCCGAAACGCGAAACCGCGAATCGGGTGCTGCCAGCTTGCCGATCAGCTCCTCGCACTCCGGCAGCAGCCGATCGTTGTTCCTCGATGCGTTTCTCGGTTGCGAAATCTGCTCCCCTGCTAGAGACTAACTTCTAGTGGCTTAATGGAAAACCCATTAGTGGGCAAAAAGTTAAAGTCCTAACATCCAAGCAAAATGCCCCAAAGGTTTCTCACATGGAACCCAAAAGAAAGATCCCCAAAAGGAGATTCCTCGGTCCATTCCTCCAACATGCATTGTCAGTCCTCTGTGTTCATCTGCAGTGTAACAACAAGTGCGGGTGACATGCCGCTGTTTGAAGGCCCAATAATCATGCCAACATCCGAAAACGATCTTTGGCCTAAGCTCTTGATGACGGCTGCACATGCATGCAAGGGATGTTGGGCTTTTGCCTGCTCTCTGTGAAATTACTTGGTCTCACGGGTGGTGCCAGAGACGTCCCGCAGTCTCGAAAAGGTCTCAGTCCACTCCCATTCCGAGACTCTTGTCCAGCCATCCCTTCGTGTTGTACTCAACGCAGCCGGCATAGTGCTTAATCACGAAGCCCTGATCCAGTCGACTTGGCTGTGGGTCAAAACCAATGGTTCCATTTTGGGGTAGGTGCACCACCCATTTTAGAACAATTTTAGTGGTTGGATTGAATCGGATGTTCACTGGAGGTACGATCTGGATTTTTGACCCACAGTCATTTGCTCTGCGCGGCCGAAAAACCGTCGGCACCGCGGGTGTCCGCTACGCACTGAAAAATCCCCCGGGCCTCGCCTCGTTGAGACCCGGCTGGTCATTGCGGCGCTTGGACATCCGCAGCTGGCGCAAGAGCTCCCTGCGCTGAGGGTCCTGCGCAAGCCGCCGCCCCCCCACCCCACCAAAAGGTGATGCTCCCACCGCAGAAGGCGAGCGAAGCACAAGCAGAACCCCAGACTGTGATGATAGAAGAGTCTGAACAAACTTACATGACTTCTTTCCTCCAGAGGACACGGGAAAACTGGGCTGTCAGCCGCTTTTTGTGGACAATGCGGGTTGTTCAGGGTGGCAAATGTTGCCACAAACACCCACCAGGAGGTTCGGGTTGGCCCTGGCAGACCTCGGTTGGGGGGGGAGGGGACAAAGGAACCATCGGGTATGGGCAACAGTGGCATGGTGGAGCATGACCTCCGAAATCCCTGGCACAAAAGGAAAAAATGGCTGTGGCTCAAAAATGGGGGTCCAAAATGGAGCCCTGGCAAATGGAAAGGTAGACTCAAACCTGCGTAACCCCGGCTGATTAATTTTTGAGCCACACCCAAATGAGGTTTTTGGTGGGAAACCACAAGAAAAACAAGCGATGTTCTACCCTTCCGCTCGGAACGGCTCGGAGCCACCCTGTCCATCTTTTCTTTGAACCAGATCTTTTGCCAAGCGCATGGTGTCCTTCTGAGCCTCGTCCACGGTTCTCTGACAGAAGCTTTCATCCGAGGTCTTTTCGAAGCCTGCGAATCTTTCCAGCACCAAAGTGGCTTGCCCCCAGCACGGGAGCCAACAACAAGAGTGCACCAAACCGGGGGTGTTCAGGACAACGGAAGAGTTCGCTTGTTCCTGCGGGTTCTGGTGGAAAAAGGTCAGACTTCAAAAGTGGCCGAACTCTTGTGATCAGCCCCCCCCCCAACTTGTGAGAGCGGGCCTCAGTCCATGGCCAAGCCGTATCTTAGAGGCCGCGAAGGTTTGGCCACGCCCGGCCTTTTGCGAGCTGCTGGCTGTACTCGTCCAGGATCCGGAAGGTGTGGGAAATGGCGGACACCACCTTAGCGGCTTAGCAGCTTAGCAAAGCCCCCCACCCCACCCCACCCCACCCCACCCCACCCCGCAGGCAGGGTTCTGAAAGAACCTTAGGTGGATAACAGAGCCACGATGTTTCTCTCCGACTACTCGATGAAGAAAAATGCCAACAACCACTCAAACCAAACCTCGCCGTCCATGCTGATGATTCAAAAAGCTGGAGTCCGCATGCTTGATCCAATGAAAGGACTTCATCAAAGAGCGAGACAGTCGTTGACCCCGACCAAATACATCAAGTGGATGAATAGGGGCATGCTCCCCTCACGTGTGAAGGTCCCCTATCTTATCCTATCAAGAGACTTACTTCAACCAGCGATCGTCTCCTACTTCCAGGGCCAATACAAACCACCCCTCAAAGCCTATAACCTTATTCATCCTTCCAATTTACCGGTGCTGAAAAAGTGGGAGCGGCTCCACAATTTGATCATGACGTGGCCACAGGGGTTTGTCTCAGAATAGAGGGGCCCAAGGAGACTGGGGGACTGTGGTACTGCACTTTTTGACTTTGAGGCTTGACATCTTGAGAAAGTTGTGCGATTGCCTTGCTGGGTCCCCTGTTCGGAAAAATGGCTGGGTTCCCCAAAAGCTAACCCCAAGAAGGACCCAAAATGCCTGGGTTCCCCAAAATGGCCGAGTTCCCAAAAAGGTCAAACAAAAAGCACCCCTTCTTCCCCAACCGCCGCTTCGCCGCCGGCGCCGCGTCCGGCAGCTGCAGGCCGTGCCAGGGCAGACCCTCCCGCCGGTACAGCGCCTGCTCCGCCACCAGGACGTTCCTCCGAGCGCGGAAAGAACGCGAGGAACGCGCCCTCCCGAAACATGGCCGTGGGTCAAAATCCAAATCGTTACCCCCCAGTGAACATCCGATTCAATCCCCACTAAAATGGGTCCTAAAATGGGTGGTGCACAAATCCCCCCAAAATGGTACCAAAGCGGTTTTGACCCACATCCACATGGAACTTGGACGCCCTCTCACAAACACATGAAGGAGACTCCCGCAACATGGAGGAATTTCCGGAGGACTGACCTATACTACCTCCGAGGGGGAGAAAAAAAACAAGAAGAGAAAAAGCGCGAGGGATTTCTCTTTCCCAGGGCCACGCGCGCCTTCCGCGAGCGTGCCTTCCGGACGGCGCCAGCTCGCTCCGGGGACTTCCGCACTCTCCCAAGTTCTGTCGCGAACGTGTTCCCGACGCTTCCTGTTTGATGCGCATCGCTGCGAATGCATGACGGTCGACGATACATTACTGCCCCCTGGCCATACAGGTACCAGAAGGTGCATGGCTCGCTCGAAAGGGCGGCGCGGGCTTTGGTTTTGGGTGAACAGTCTAGGTGCTGGTTTAGGGTTTAGGGTGAGGGTCAACCCGGTGACCCGGATTAGGGCTTGGGTTTTGGTTGAGGGTAAGCACGGTTTGCAAGTGGTTCACTTTTCCAGTCCGCACTCTTAACTTGGCTTCTCAGAATCCCTCAAAACATTGGCTCTGAGCATTGATTTGCCATGTTGGGCGTCACCATTGGGTCGCCGGCAAGGCATCGGGTTTGTCCGCAGCACTACATATGTGTAACTTTGGCTGGTAGCACATGCAAGGTGTGATGCAGGGGGCCGTCCTTACCCTTGAAGTCCAAATTCTTGCAGTGCTCAACAGGTCGTGACATGACCCACCGCAAAGCCATTATTCTCAAAGCGCGCGGCAGATTGGGTACGTCTCAAAATCGGGGACCGGTCGATCCTTCGTGTGCTGGGAGGTCCATTTGGTCTTAGGAACCGAGCAAACACCGAGCCGCCCACTAAATTGGCAAACAGGAGTCAGTTGTTGGCAGTGAGAGTGTTTTGCGCGGTGCTCACGAGACGTCGGGCCAAGACACTCCACGAAGTATTGCTGCAGACGCTCGTTGGCCAAATTGATGCAAAGCTGCTCAAATGAGTTGCCTCGCGCGGTCTCGTCCCATCGCAAAGTGGCTTCGGTTTCCCCGCATGCGGGCTGCTGCCTCCTTTGATCTTTGAAGTTTAAAGGAAACCAAAACCGTGGGCTTCGGTTTCTCTCCGTGTCCCAACTCCAAAACAGGCAATTAGCCTCACCAGAAAGACACACCCAGCTGACACCACTGACTCCGTGAGAGCTCCTTCAAGTGCCCCTGCAAGTCTGTAGAATCGGCAAGCCACGCTCAAGTCTCTCAAAGCCATAGATGTCAAGGATGCCGATCTCGCGTCTAGACTCCTGCCGCGCAATCCCTACACAGAGTTGGTCGGAGTCCAGTCTCTCCATTGCCTCCTCCAAGTGGGCAGTACGCAGCTCTTTGAACGAGCCTCAGAACCCAAGACTTCCAAGATGGCCTACTTGATGGAACCACCAGGTAAACCAGGGCCCTCTATTTTTCAACCAAATCAACCAAAAAGGATACCTATGGTTCAAGGGCTGTGAGTCGTAAATCCTTGTGAACATCCGAGGCGTGCGCTGTTGATCCGCTGTACCAGGCGGTCGAAAAGGCGCTTGTACAGGGCCTTGATCAGGCTGTGAAGAGCGTGGCGAAACTGCGAGGTCGTGCGCGGCACCTGAACGCTCATCTGGCCATGGGACAAAATCCAAATCGTACCCCCAGTGAACATCCGATTCAATCCAACCACTAAAATAGGAAGCCTAAAATGGGTGGTGAATTCACAAATCCACCAAAAATGGGATCAACCAAAACGGTTTTGACCACCACTGCCATCTGACTGATTTGTTGGGGAAAGGCGTAGAAGGCAAGGCATCCTTTGGGGGGCCTTTGGGCGCAAATAAAGTCGCCGAGCCGAGCCGAGCCTCTGCCCCTTGACTGACCCAACTCAAGTCTCCCCTTCAACACCCCCTCTAAGTGCGTGGGCTTGTTGAGATCCCTTGAGGTGTGTCTCCGGATTGAACCAGAATCAACATCAAAATCGTCGCTGTTCCTTTCGCTCTTGCCCCTTCCCTTCCCCTCACCCCAAATCCTCCCCAACTTCAAAACCCCCTCTTCCCCTCTCTTCCCCCTCTTCCCCCTCTTCCCCCTCTTCCCCCGAAAAATCCCCCCGCGCCTTGTGCAGGGACTCCCTTCCCGGGTGCAGCACGCGCACGGTGCGGCGCCGCAGCGCCGCCCCCAGCCGCTCGCAGTCCAGGCCCAGCAGCTCCGCCGCCTCCGACCGCTCCAGGCCAAAATGGGATGCCAGTGGTTCTGACCCACCATATGGGCGTGTCACTTGGTGAGGGTACCCTGGTTTTTCGTGGGTTTATCTCGGTTGCGAAATCTGCTCCCCTGCGAAATGTCTCTTTTTAACTTTTAGTAGTTTAGTTGGAAAACCCCATGAGTTGGCAAAAAAAAAAGTCCGAACATCCAAGCAACATGCACCAAAGTTTTGACGCCCGCCGTACTCCCCAAACCTGGCCTCCTCTACAGCAATCCTCATGGTTGAGGAGAAAAAACTCATCGAGCCCAAAACTGGCCTCCCTCCCAGTCCTAGGAATCTGAACATGGTTGAGTCAAAACGCCAACCAAGAAGGGCTTGAGGACCTCGAGCAAATTGCCGATCGAAGCAAGCTCCGGAAAAAATACTTCGCTTCGAGCAATCCCCACCCTCCACACTCACGAGCTTACGACCGTTACAACAAATTCCTCCGCATCCTGGAGACTTCGACCCCAAATTCCCATCGGCCGTTTTGGACATTGAGCAAAGCCAGACTGGCGGGATGCTGGATCCACCGGCAAAGGGTACTCAGCGGGATACTTGGCGGGATCCACTGGCGAGCCGCTCTGGCGGGATACTCGGCGAGATCCACTGGCGAGCTCTGGCGGGATACTCGGCGGGATCCAGCGGCGAGCAGCTCTGGCGGGATACTCGGCGGGATCCACCGGCGAGCAGCTCTGGCGGGATACTCGGCGGGATCCACTGGCGAGCCGCTCTGGGTGATACTAGGCAGGATCCACTGGCGAGCAGCTCTGCTCGGCGGGATCCACTGGCGAGCCGCTCTGGCGGAATACTCGGCGGGATCCACTGGCGAGCCGCTCTGGGGGATACTCGGCAGGATCCACTGGCGAGCCGCTCTGGCGGGATACTCGGCGGGATCCACTGGCGAGCAGCTCTGGCGGGATACTCGGCGGGATCCACTGCCGAGCTGCTCTGGCGGGATTCTGGGTGGGGGCGTGGTGTAGAAGCAAACGCGGATTCCAACATAAAATCCAACAACCCCTTCCTGTCGGGTGGGGAAAAAATAGACACCATACTCTTTCCTAGCAATGAAGGGCTTGATCGGGGTCCTGGTCAACATTCCTGGCAATGAATGTCCTTGACAACCGATGAAAATAGTCCTGGCAATGAACGTCCTTCACTCCAATCAAAGCTGGGCTCCGTCCTAGCAATCCGAAAATGGTTTAGGAGAAAAAGCCACATGATGGGTATTTTTTGGACCATCCGTTGCACAGATGTCACCAAACTTTACTCCTGACAATTCTGCTATACTCATAAACCTCGTCAAAGTGTCAAGCACCAAGCCTGGCTATGCCCTGCTAGTTTCACCATCCAAGTATGAACCTCGAGTTCAGAGGAAAGGTGGCGTCATCTTGCTGAATGAGGGAATGACTCCAATATGCCGCCCCTTGTGGCCTTTAAGGCGATCCCAAATGGCTCATTCTCAATGAGCGTAGGGCTTTCAACAGAACCAGCAACTGATCTGGATGGCATCCCTATGTTTGACGCAGACCCACCCACCCCACCCCCTCCTCCGACTGCTGAAAGAAAATGAAAGTCTACCAACCCAACCAACCAACCAACCAACCAACCGACCGACCGACCGACCAAACAAACAAACAAACAAACAAACAAACAAACAAACAAAACAAAACAAAACAAAACAAACAAACAAAACACATGGGCACATGTGGGCAGCCTTTTCCAGCGTCTCTTCATCCAGCGACACAGTTGAGCTTTCATCGCCTGAGGCTTGCCGCTTGCCGCAGTGCATTGCACCCATGGCACCAAGCAAGCTTCAGCACTTCGGGGCTGTTGTTTCGAGTTGGAACCCTTTTCAGGTGGCCATGGGTCAAAATCCAAATCGATCCGGTTGCCCCCCAGTGAACATCCGATTCAATCCAACCACTAGGTCCTAAAATGGTGAATTAATTCACCTACCCCAAAATGGGATCCCATCGGTTTTGACCCACACCCAGGCGGGTTTAAAAGGAAGCCAAACTTGGGGGGCCCGCCCCCTGGGCACATCACTTCAAAGGGCATGGGATTTAGAAGAAAAGGCATGGGACAAATCCTTCCAAACTGCCCATAGACCCCAACTTATTTGTGAGCTGCTTCTGTCAATGCGATCACTGGCCTTCGTCTCGTTCAGCGGAAGATAGATCTCCCAAATGCACTAAGCCCGCAAGCACCTGACAGCAGCCATCATGGTGCAAACTTCCGGAGTTGAGAACCTGTGAAAAGCGTCCCTTGGGCGGCCTGAAATATGGCATCCATGTCCTCCGCTGTAAAGCCAACCACCGCCAAGGCATCGCACAACCGCCGGAAGTTCCTTTTGTCTCGCTCCTGTCCCGCACAGTCTGGCTGAAGGCATGGTGTGAAATTTAGTTGGGACATGATTTTGGTGTGGAAATGTATGTCCGCCAACCACTTTTGGGGTGGTCCCCAATCAAAACTTTGGGCCATATTGGTGTCCAAGCTAGAGAAACACCCAAAGTGGGTGGCGTTCCGTTGGGTTTCCGAACCAAAAGGAAACATGCCATTTTCAGAGTTCCCCCCTTCGAAGACAAGCCATTTGGCTGCAGAGCTGCACATGCTTGCAGCTGCAAACACGGCGACCTCCCCGCTTCCCATGCGTCCTGAAACTGGCTCTGCCAGGCTTGCTCATCTGAGTGGTCCTCCAAACACCACGCTGGGCGTTGAAAACATAGATCAGAGCTCATGCCCACGTCTTGCATATGTGAGCAAAGCATTGGTCAACGATATGGCTCATGGCCCCAAAGGAGTCATTGGCTGACACTCAGAGTGAAGGGCTCAAGCATGGCATGCCTCAAGGCTCACGGCAAATCGACGACTTCCTGGCTGTCGTTGGCCAGGAGCAGGTACCTCCTCCCGCGCGCCAGATGCAAATCGCCCAGCTTCGCTTCCGGCAGACCGCAGAGCATCTCCTGAGTCAGGTCTGCAGAAGCAATCCGTTGGATCTCCTTTGTCAGTCCCTTAGTCGAAACCTTTAACTTACATTTTTTGTCAAAAGTTCCCTACTAAACAGCTGAGTCACAATCAAAACCCGGTAGTAGAATGGTTGAACCATGTGAGGCAATACAAAGCCGGATATCCGCAACTATTTATGGCTGGGATTGTCCCTTACTAACCTTCATCTACCCAGGTTTTGATTGTAACTCATTTAAACTTTAAGTCTGAATCCCGCCCCCCCCCCCCCCGGCAAAACCCAGCTTTGCGGGTTTCCCGTTGCATCTCCTTTAAAGCAAAACCGGCAAAAGGGGATTCTCAACAAGGGGATGGATTTTGCGAGCCCCGCCGGCACAAGGGCCAACCCCCCTTCATTTGACATCATGTCCAACCAGTCCAGTTTCAACCAGCCCAGTGGCTTCACTTTGAAGCAAAGGCAGCTCGCCCAAAAGAGATCCAGATGCAGGAGCCCTTCCCCTGCCTCTCCGGAGGTTTGGAGCCCAAAAAGACCCTGAGAAAATCACCACGTCGCAGCAGTGATGGATGAAGACCTCTGACAGGGTTCCAAAAGGATATACCTTGGCCAAATTGAAAACCACCTTTGCAAGGTGTTCCAAAGGGTGTTGTATCCTGATCAGAGTCCCCGCCAGACCTGCCAACTGGTGCGAAATGGATTTTGTCCATCGGTAGTCCAAAATGAACTAGAGTCAGTGGACGTTTGCCCGTCTAGTGCCACTGAGAGGCGTAGAAGCAGTGGTAGTTCCGCTCCGACTTGCTATGCAGGACCACCCGAGAACTTTCGAGAAGGTACGTGGTCACCTCAACTTGCCTTTTGGGCAAATGCTCGTTTGACCATACACGCTGCACCATGGATGACAGGTTCAACTGTGTCACTACTTCATATATGTTTCATAGAAATCTACCGAACACTTGCGATTCAGGCAGTCATCAACCACTGTCACGTCACTCCGGCGTCTACCAGCGTGCCGGCATCGTCGAAGAAGATGCGGTTGTACTTGCCAAAGCGCGACGAGTTGTGGTTCCTTCCAAGCTCTTGAGCTGATGATTCGGGCCTTGTTGATGGTAGGATTCCAAGAGGAAACCAATGGAAAACCGCCCATTTTGGAGTGTTCCCCAATTCGCAGCCAAACCCAGAGGACCAAGCAAAGTAGCAAACCGCGGGTCCGGGGCAGTTGGCTTTCCCGGCGAATTTGCTTCAAGGCTTGGAGGAGGCTTTGTGGCTCTCAGTCGTCAAGGCACCCTGCAGACACCCCAGAAGCCAAGCCGCATGCAGCAAAGGGAAGGGTTCCCTTGTGTGTGTGTGTGTGTGGAAGCCTTGTTTCTGGGCAGGCTCTGAGACAAGAAAAAGACCAAGCGCGTCGCCTCATCGTAACCGCGTTGCCAAACGACTCCAGGATGGGCTGCGCTTGCAGAATCCGATGTTGGATGCCTGCCTGGCAATCGGCGCTTGAGGTATCAGACGTGGCAGAACCCCCCTCCAGGAGAAAAAAAGCACAAGACTTGGAGCCTTCGGGGCGCCAAAAACAAAATAAGACTCCAGGAAATAGGAAAACAACACAACCATTGCGGCCTTCAGTTTGCCCACAAAAAATAATACTCCAGGAAATGCAAAAAAGGACACGCCTTTTTGCCCCACTGGGGTCACAAGGAAACCCGGCCCCCTTTTTTGTGCAGAAGGCGAGAGTCGGTTGTGGCATCGCTGGAGCCAGAGATGAAGCCCAGGTACTGCATCACCTGAGTCATAATCAAAACCCGGTACTACAATAGTCTACCCAAAACACATCCTTATGGTTTATGTCAGGATCTAGGGGCACGAAGGGAATAGCATGCCCCATTTGGTGCTTAAAACCACCCTATAAGTGATGTGAGTCACGATCAAACCCGGTATCAAAATGATCTACCCAGAACCATGCTTCAAGAATTAAGAAGGCGGATATCCGCAGCTATTTCTGGCGAGGGGATTGTCCCTTACTAACCTTCAACTACCCGGGTTTTGATTGTTATTTGAGGGTTAGAGTTCGTGTTTAGAAGTAGAATAGATATAGAAGCTCGCGACGGCTTAATTTGTCTACTATATCCCAATTTCTATTTTAAATTTGGCAAATCCGGATTTTGGAATGTCCGATTCTCTGATATAATTGAAGAAATAACAAATCCGTAAATTCGGGAAAAAGGCCTGCTCGTGAGCCTTCTAACTCTTCCAAAATAAAATGCAGGGAAGGTTCGAAGATTCTAATTTTCGGGATCCGGACAATTCAGAAGGGCAGGGGGCAATCTCCTTGCCATTTCAACTGTGACTCGCTTGCCTTTGTCCTTTTTGCACAGGAAGATGTTTCGCGTTTTACACGATTGGTTTCCATTTAGTTGCCCTTCAACACAATCCAGTTTCACTACAGACTGGATAGTAGGGTTCCCTCGTTTTTACGGGGATTTTTGTTCAAGTCGGTCCCCCCCCCCCTGCTCGTCCCTCCCAAAAGGACTCTTGACAAATCAGGGATAGTAGTGAGTCTGCTCGTTTTTGCGGAGAATTTTCGAGCTCCCCCCCCCGGTCGTCCCTCCCAAAAGGACGAGCAGAAGAAGGACGTTTTGGCCAAGCCAGCATGAGGCACAATCTTCGACGTCTCCGTCTTCCCAGCACCGCTCTCCCCCGAAATGATGAAGCCCTGGTTCTTGCGCTCGCGCACCTTGGAGTGCCGTCAAAGGCAGTGTCAATGGCCTCTTCAGGTTGGTTAAAATGGAAGCCAAAAGAAAAACATGTCTTTTCTTTGGGGGGGAGGGCTTATTTTGACACTTGATGGAGTGGCAAGATTGCTTGCTTCCCAAAAAATCAGGGGAAAATTGGATGGGTCCGCTTGCTTTTGTTGGAAACTTGGGTGACTACCAGTGGTTATGTTGGTTATGTCGCCTACTCGTGTGATGGACAATATTTATGTGGGGAGGTGTGCCCACCTCTGAGGGTGTTTCCCACTGGAGAAAGAAGACCACATTCTGACAGTATGCTGGTAGTCTACTGTTGGTTGAGGGAGGGTAAAAAGCGGGTGCTAAGCCAAAGTTCGCACACAGAAAAACAGGACACCCCCCCGGCCTCCCCGCCAATTGTGTCATATCCTTGTGGGGGAAACATTCGGTCATTCCCAGGTTCACATTCAGTCGGCACTCGCGGCCCAACCTTAACCTAACGGCAATGTAGCCTATATTGACACATCCATAATGAGGAACACTGACCTAAGCCAAGGAACCAAAGCCCGGTAGGCGGTATCCGCGATTGCATACGGATGCGGCGGCAATGCTCCTATGTGCTTCCCGCGATATCGGGCGCACTGGTCACTGCCATAAAGCCTCAGTTGGCGTGTGGAGCTTTCAACTTTTACGACCACATCCTACTTTCACAAACTTCTGGCTACAAGTTTTAAAACCAGATCCTTACTTTCCAACTTTTAAAACCAGCTACAGCAAGTTCTGCAGGAAATTGGCAAAATAACCCATGAATACCAGGGCTTGGGCAAACCTCCTGTCAAACTTCCTGTAGCTGGCTCCTGGGGACGCTGACGGGCGACGCCTAAGGCCTTGACCCTTCTATGTCGTGATAAGGGTTCACAGCCAGCAGCACCTCAGCCAGAAGGATCGATCGCGAATTTGCAGAACTCGTGAGGAACTCTTCCGAAAACCTGCAAGACCATCTGGCCATGGGTCAAAATCCGGTACCCAGTGAACATCCGATTCAATCCCGACTAAAATGGACGGCGGTGCACCTACCCCAAACTGGTACCATTAGTTTTGACCCACAGCCATCTGAATCTCTGCGGTGCTGCCGAGAAACGCTGGCGGTGTAGGTATAAATTTGATCCGCCTTGCGCTGGGCCGATGTTCAACTGACCAAAACCTCGCACCCGGCCTCGTGTCGAAGCTTGAGGTTTTGCAGGATCGCAGCGTCATTGAGGTGCACCAGCGAAGTGTTGTCTTGGCCTGCGCAAGCGAGTCAAGGGCCAGCTTTTCGGAAGCAAAAGGGCACCCGACTCAAAAACAAACACCAAGTTGAGTCATGGTTCGGAGTGTGCCCTAAACTGCTATCCAGGTCTCTTGGTGGCTTTCTGCTCCCCTGCGAAAAGTGACTAAATTTTAGTGGTTTTTTCATAGAGTTGGCAAAAAGTTGAAGTCCCATCATCCAAGCAAAATGCACCAAAGTTTTGAGAAGCTTGCAGGGTACAATCACAAAGAAGACGCTGACACCTGACAGGGAAATGGTCCCTGAGAGAGGAAACTCGTCTTCCATTTCCTACACGTGCCTTCTGGTAGCGCAAGGGAGGGGCCTTTAAAACTTGTTATACCCTCAGTCGTGCGAAAATTACAGAGTTTGCTTGCTGTTTGTGGGCAATTCAGTCCCCCATAATCCCAAACACAGGCCATAAGTCTGCCGGATACTTTGACCAAGCCTCATTTGCGTGTGTCAAACCGAGCCTGAAACTGGTGTTTTCCTTCCGAAACTCTGAAATGGGCACCCGACTCAAAAAGACGTTGAGTCATGGTTAGGAGCGCCCTGAGCTGCGCCCCGAGGTCATCCGCCCCGAGATCCCGGCAGCTCTCGCCGCCGAAGCGACGTCTCAAAGAGGCGCAAGGCGTCGCAACGTGGGCGCCGCTGGCCTCCACCACCTGGTATGGGTGATGGCTTTACCGAAAAACGGGGTACCCGGTCGCAGGGCTTCCCTGTAGAAAGAAGAAGATTGCCCCAGGAATTGGCCGTATATATATATATATATGCATATACCCGGGTTTCATGGCGGCTCACCTTGCGTAGTTCTTCTACCATTCCGCAGAGGTTGACTTTCAACCACGGAACAATCGGTACAAACTTGTGAAACATAGCTCAACTCTGGCCAACCTGGATTCAGATCTAAGGCTCACGCCACTTCGGAGCCTTTCACCTCTAGGACAGTGCCTGGAATGAAGGGCACCTGCAAACCACGACAGGCTCACAAAAGAAACTTGATTCCGTGTGCGCTAAGGGCAAGCCTCAAACAAGTCGTCATTCCTTCACCCCTTGGCATGTGGCCATGGGTCAAAAGCCCACTACTGCCAGTCAACATCCCATTGAAGTAAAGCCTAAGAGGTGAATTCACCTACCAACCAAAATGGCCATTGGTTTTGACAACCACTTGGCACGTTAAGACTTGCCTTGCCCTCGCTCGGCACGTAGACCAAGTCACGTGCCTCGACTCGAGCGACGCGAATCGAAAATCAACGGGTTGAGCCAAGGACTCAACTCGGGCCGGGGCCTGGAATTGCTTCGCAGGCATAGCCTCAGTCACTTGGATCAGACTCAGTCACGTACTTGCGCGCCGCTTTTGGCTGAGAAGCAAGCCGGGCTGTCCAAAATGTGGCTGTGGGTCAAAACCCTGTACCCCTGGTGAACATCAAAATAGGTGGCAAATGGATTTTCATCCACCAAAAAATGGAGCTATAGGTTATGCCCCATAGCCATGTGGCAAGCGGGCTGTCCAAAATGTGAGTTTTTTTGGATTAGAGGCGGCACAAAGAGTCGTCCAAAAAACGACCTGCTCGTGCCCTTCAATCTTAGGTCACGCCATGAAGCCAGGCCACTTTCCATGAGAAACCGCGCGCAATCCGTTTGGGCCAAAGGCCTACAGCACTGTGTCAAATTTTGTGGGACTCCACCCAACAAAAGAAAAACCTCAAGATCTCACAAGCCGATCCAGGCTGGCTTCTGATGTCAATCGCATTCATGAGAATGGTGACCCTACTAATGAGGGATGGGAAACCTCCTGGTAGGAGATGATCCATGTTCGAGTGTTCCTCTGATTGGTAGGGTCCTCCAAATTGATCCGAGGTTCACACTGTGGGAGCTGAAGCAATCACAGTCTCTCTGCAAGTTATCCTACGCATCGCAGGCCAATGCTGCAGTGGATTCATTCCACTACCTTCTGAGTGGAGCGAAACGCCCGGGCGTTTTCGTCGGCCCTTCAAGGACGCGCTTAAGCTGCAACCTCCAGGTCCGAAACACCCCACGAGGACTAGAGCAATTTGGCTTTGGGTCAAAACCCGGTTAGCCCCAGTGAACATCCCAATCCCAAAATGGTACCATTGGTTTTGACCCATGGCCATTTGACAAAGGACAAGAGCTCTCACCGTTCTTTGGGCAAGGGCATTGGGTAAGAACTTCCCTGGAAAGTCCCCAGTGGATGACCCGGCAGGAAGTACCCGAAGTCCACCGCATCCGGCGCAACCTTGAATCAGCATAGGCGGGAAAAGCTTCCCAAGAGGGGGGGTCCACGGTCAAAGTATGGGAGTCCCGGGCTTCGAGGGAAAATGAGCCAGTCCCTGTGCTTGCTTGAGGAGCCATGGACCAAAAGCCTAAAACAATTCGACCGAACCTCTCCGCTTGACATCGACGCTGACTCAGCTGGGACACGTGAAAGGCGCCATTCATTCCCCACGCTGTGCTCCAAGAATTCACGGCAAGTACATAGCCTGGTCCGAAGCCCATTCCTGCATGGCATTTGGGTTCCAAGGACCCTGCTCAGTGTGCTTAGTGTCTTGCAAGTGACTGCACACAAGACATGGGTGTGTGTGTATTTGAGGGTACCCGTTTTGAGGTTGGTTTAACAGAAACCAAAAGCACAACCGCCGTTACCCACATAAAGCCAGTCCTGTCACAGCATGGCCTCCCATATAGAGATTCCAGCTCTTCTTTGTCGGCCGGTAGATGCCTCAGGCGCCGAATTTGAGGAAGAAAAAGAAATGGCTCCCGAGCAGCGCAAATTTGGCCCTGCCTGACTCATAGGCGTAAAAGTCCTGGTAGATTCGCATGCCCAGGAGGATTGGCCCGTCCTGCATCAGTGCCTCGGTCATCTCAAGTTTCCGGAGGTGCCCTTTTGGGGTTGCTTCAAAGGGCGACCAACGGCCAACTCCGTTTGGGGGGTTCACAGCATGTCAGGTTTTTGGAGGTAGGTACCCCTTTGGCAACAGCCAACTCAGTTTGGGGGGGGGGTTCACGGCATGTGTATCTCATTTTCGGAGGCACCCCTGTGGCAACGGACAACTCAGTGTAGGGGGTTCACGGCATGTATGTCATTTTCGGAGGCAGAATCAAAACCCGGTATTAAAAGTTGTCTGCCCAGAACCATTCTTCGGGAATTAAGAAGGCGGACATGTCCGCAGCTCTTTCTGGCGAGGGGATTGTCCCTCACTAACCTTCACCAATCCCCTTCATCGGTTTTGAGCACGTGGCTCACGAAAGTTTCACGACGACCCACGGCGTCCACTGGGATCGCCTAAGCAGCCGCGGCGCCTGCTGCACCAGGTGCGGCACTTGCGTGCCGGAAGGATGCAAGGCCCGGGGCTGATACTGGACCTAAGCCAGGTCTCCCAGGCCCCTGCCTCAAATCTAGGCTAGAAAAATATATGTATACATATATATATATATATGTATATATATATATATATCGCCTGGTGAGTGGAAAACAAAGGAGACCCCAAAAAAGGAAAAAAAAAAAAAAAGCTATTTCTGGGGAAGAAATGGCTGGTGGCCAATTTGTTTCCCTTCAGACCCCCCCCCAAAAAGAACAGAAGAAGCGCCCCTCTGGCTATGTGACTTTTAGCTGCCAGTCTTGCTACAACACTGCAAAAACAGGGGCATTCTGCATGTGCCCCCCCCCAAAAAAAAAAAAAAAAAAAAAAAACGGGTACCCCCCATGTCCGGCTGAGGTGCTCCGGATCTCCCCAAACGCCTGCCCTCCCCCGGCGCCAAGCGGCATAGAAGAGGTCCTTGTCCATGGCCCTGGGGTACTTCGCATAGGGCGAGCAGGCGCCCGGGCAGCGGATATCGTCGTCGTGGGGCAGGATCTGGGGGTAGCAGGTCTCGATGCCCTCCTGCGAAAAGAAGAAAAAAAAACAGAGAAAGGGACGAATGCGGCCAACATGCTTGTTTTTGGGGGAAATAGAGGTGTCCAACTCGCCTTCTTCTCTTTCTTCCTTTTTTTTTTTGGGGGGGGGCACCTCCACCACCAATGGCTTTGAAACCACCAAAAAGCGACAATGTGTCCCTAGATGTCCAGCCTAAAACAGCCCTTTGTCTGATGGTCAGGTCAATAAGAAAAGACCCAAAAACACTTGCCATTGGCTCACTGGATGCAAAACTTAGGCAAGGCTCTGATGTGATATGTATTTATTTTTTTTAATGTGCCTCGGGAATGGCAAGGTTTCCTTCTGGCTTCTCTTTGGCTTCCCTTTAAAACTCACCAATGGACGCGTGCTTCCTCCAAAAAAGACGAGCCACCCCCGATGGCGCGCGAGGCGCTTCCCGCCCTGCGGGTCCAGAGCTGGGCTGGTCCTTCTATTTGGACACGTTCCCACATGAGTCACTTGCTCAAAACCCGGTATTAAAATGGTCGTAATCCCCGAACCATGTGCAGAATTCAGGAGGCAGCTAGTTATGGCAAGGAGATTGTCCCTTACTATCCTTCATTTACCCGGGTTTTGATTGTGGCTCACATGGCGTGATGTTGTAAGTTTTCTGAACATTGCGAAGCGCGGACATCATATATAACTGAGCCGGAACGCAGGGAAGGAGGGGAAAAAAAGCGAAAAGAAAGGAAAGAGAAAGCTTCCTGTGGTTTTTCGGCCACATTTCTGTTACCTGCAATATTCAGAAAATCCTCCGTACCCTTTCTCTCATGGAAGCGAGGCTTGGAAGACTACGATCCTCAAGCCTTCTTGTTCCCGCACGGCTTATACAGCCCTCATTTGGGCATGGGTCAAAATCCAAGTCGGTTAGCCCCCAGTGAACATCCCAATCCAACCACTAAAATAGATCCCAAAACAGGTCTTTAAAATGGGTGGTGAATTCACCTACCCCCAACATGGGATCCCATTGGTTTTGACCACCACAGCCATTTGGAGAAAACGAAGGCTTGTGAGGCTCTGAGTGGGGACTTGGAAAAGCCGGCTGAGAAAATGCTTTCGCCGCCAAATCTCCTTCATGTTGCCGCGGAAGTCCGGCCCTCCTGTGGGCACGCCCCACCTGACAGAAAGCTGACATCGCCCCCGTACGGGGGGTCCTTTTTGGTGGTTTTGGGCGAAAAATAGCGGGGGTACGATTCCTGGTTTACCTGATGGTGTAATCATCTACCAGGGAAACCCATCTAGTTCCCCTAAGTGGACGCCTATGTGATCGCCACTTGCAGCGCCAGTGGCAAGGTTTTCATGGCTCAAAGATGCCTTTGGCAACCCTAGCGTTTGTGCACGACACGAAAGACCCGAAAGACCCGAACGGCGCGCCTGGACACGGTCTGGAATCCCAGCAGACCGGAGCCTCCCATGCAGTAATCCCGGCCATCCAACCTGCGGCGTTCGGCATTCGGCAAGCCCTCCAGACCCTTCCCCGCCACGTGTCACCACGGCCTGCAAGCTGCGATGAAGGACTGACTCAGCCAGGCGTTGTCGCCATTGAACCTCAGACAAACCTGCCTGCATGCAAGCTGAGCCTGGTATGAGAAGCATGGCTTTGAGACGCCTTTTGAAGTCGCTTGCAACTTGGCATGGAGTGGACGTTTCTCGGAATGGGGAACCCATACACATTGTGTGCTTCCGTTGGGGCGCCCCACGTTTAACAACCTCCAACCTGTTACCATAAAGCAAATAAGCAAACAAACAAAGCCCTTTTCTGTGCAGGCAAGCTTCTGTCCCCTGCTTTCAATGCAGAGCCGGCTCTCAGTGATGAGGGCCGTCGAGTGGCTCCAGCAGTTGTTACCTCAGATTTGAGTTCTCAATCTGAAGTCCAACCATACGCCCCGTTTCGTGGTGCTCGGAGCACCAGGGTTTCTCAAGCCCATGTCCTATGGCAACACTGCGGCTTGAATCCTCAGATGGGTCCAACCAACCGAAATGGGCGGTGCTTGTGGGTTTTGAAACAAACCCCAAACCCCATACCCTCAAAAAACGATAAGCCCGCTTGTCCATTCTCTCGGCTCCTTATATGTCCAATGCCATTCAAAAAAAATGGAAGCTAAATTAAAAAATGATTGAATCAGACAACAAGGAGCATGCAGCCCTACCCTCTTGATGCACAAAGTCTACATTTGCTTGAAAGCCACGTCTGCATGCAACAACAAAAAAAACGGGAAGGTGGCTTTTCTCGGCCCAAATTCAGGCGCAACGAACCAGAGGCTCACACGACGAGCTGCAAGTTTGGTATCGGACATGTGTCGTGATCGGCTTGCACTCCGGCCAATTCTCTCTGACGTCAAATTCTTGAGCAAAGGCCTGAGTCGCAACAAAGCGAGTGGCTCAGAAGGCTGGCATGAGTTAACTTCAGCTTTCGCTCGATAAACATGCTTGTTTAGGTTTGTCGCAAAATAGGGAACCCAAAACCAGGGGTGGCTCTCCTTTCATGTCCATTCGAGCAACCCAAAAACAGGGTACCAATGCCAAACACATTTTGCGGGGTCCGTATCCCACATGGTTGTGAGCAATTCCCCCTTTCTGTGATACCAAAGTGGGCCACTTTAACGGGGACTACCTTGGCATCACAGCAAATGCTTTAAACAACCAGTGTTCCGCAAATCAGCTTTCCTCCAATTGGAGGTCCGAGGGTAGCATCCTGTTTTCCTCTTGCGGGGCTTGTGTTTTGCGGGTAGGGGAAACCATCTTAGGTAAGGGCCTGATGATATCCCATCAGACATGTTTTCTCCAGGCAGGACGCATCTCGGCTCAGCTCCTCCTCACTAAATTGCGCCAGATCCTCCTGCAGCATACTCAGCGTGTGATTCTTCATCTGCTCCTCCTCCTCCAAAAGAAAAAAAAACGGAGTCTCCACACAGGCCATACGAATTTACACCCCGCAACTGCCACAGCACAAGGCATTTGATCTGCCAGCTCCCTAGGGGTACCTTCCCCATTAGGGATCCGGATCTTTCTAGAAAACCACCAAAAACCCTGGGGAAGACGCCTGGTTTTTGAAATGAAAGGAATGGGGAATCAACCCCTAGAAGAGTGAATGCGCGATCCCCCCATGGCCTCCTTGCTCATCTCAAATCCGAGCCTAAAGGCGCAGTGAGGCCGGATTAATAAACCCCTGTTTATTAATATGGGGGTGTTTCCTCCAAAAGTGATAAATCCCTACTAAAACCATGGACATCCCATATTAATGAACAGGGGGTTTATTAATTCCTCGCTGTCAAGTAGCTTGGTCTTGCCTTTGGCCACAGACACTTTCACGAAGGATGGGTCATAGGATGCCTTCCAAGTGGATTCCTTGGAGCAGCAGTATAGCCACAGAAACCGAACAGGATGTATACCCCCTACTCCAAATACCATCTGAGCCGTGCCAAATACTCTTGTGTAAAAAGCGGTCCTATAAACTTGCTTTCGCGGACCCTTTCGCGATGCTTTCGCGACCCCATGTTTTGCTTTCGCGGGCTTTGGTTTCTTTAGAATTGCTTTCGCGACGCTTTCGCGGCGGAGCGTCACACAGCATGCAGGCTTTCGCGGGTCTTTCGCGGCGGGACTTTCTTTGGTTACTTTCGCGATAAGCTTTCGCAAGCTTTCGCGGCCTGCGTTTTGGCTTTCACGGGGATTCTATAGGACACCCCCCTTTACTACTTTGTATTGTCAGGGTTTCTGGCGCTGCTCATCTGTTTTCAGGGTATCATGTCGACCCTCTACTAAAAAAGGAGGTACTTACCATGGAAAACCAGGTTTTCCCGAAGAAAAACAACTGGAAAAAAAGGAAGAAGAAAAACAAACTTGTGTATTCTGAGTAGGGGGCATAGATGCCCATGCTTTAATTGCTTCTCAATTCTTGAAGCCCTACTGGTGGTGCCACATCAGCTACTGTCCATGCCGGACTCATCAATCCGGTGGACGATTGGGGAGTTCTTCCCCCCAAAAGTGAAAAGGGAACACCCCCGTACTCGTATCGATGAACCAACGTTCAGGGATATTGGGTTCCTACTGTGGATGGACGAAATCCTGCACCACTTAGAAACCATGTTGGTATTTACAGGGGAATCATGGTTCCAGGGTTTCTTAGGTGGTGCAGGATTTCGCCCATCCGCAGTATTACGTGCAAACATGCCTCTCCACTGCTGTTCAGCTTGTTGATGGTCGTCGCCAGGGATTTGGGCACCACTGGTCTCATGGCCATGTAGCCATTCTGCACCAGATTTTTCCAGCCGGAGTACTGCGCTGATCTGGAGGTTTTGGTGACGACTCCTTGAGTGTGCAAAAGTCGGCTTGACCCGGGTTCCATTGTTTGACTTCCTTTCCCATAGACTAAAACCCGTTGTTGTTTCTTCTTTTGGGGCCATCGACCAGTTTTGGTTTGAGGTTTACCTTCGGTTGGTCGAAATGGAACCCCGGGCTTCACATGGGAGCAGCGTGGGAGGCCTGCGGCCAAGAAACGCTTGGAGTCCCCAACCACCAGCTCCTGAAAGCGATCCTTAAATTCCGTCGTCTCCTGGCAATGCAGCCAATGAACTCGGCACAGAAAGCTGTATGTGGCTCGTCCGAAGTTCTTCTTGTCTTTTGCTTCGTCAGCTGGCATGGCCTATGCTCAGTCCTGCTTCGTGAGCGGAGGCACCTTTTCATCGATCCTGGCCTTCCGAGCGCTCATTCGATCGTGCGCGTTCGCTGGTCATTTGGGTATGAATTTTAAGTCGGGGCCCTTTGGTGGACATCATTTAGGTGGGGATTTATGTCCACCAACCACTTTCAGGCGGTTCCCCAATAAAACTCATAGCCATTTAGACTGCTGGCCGCGAAACGCAAAGCTGCTCCCTTGTTGCTTTGCCTCAAAATACAAGCTCGCACCCTCGTTCCAACATGGAAGTTCACAGAACACTTCCACTCACTCAAGGAACGGAGTCTTCCAAACCCTCTCAGCTTCCAAGACTAGAGGGAGGGTGTCAGCAATGCAACCTCGCAAATCAATGAGTTCTTACCCACCAGCCTCCACATGCAGCTGCACGAAAACAGAGGAGGCGGACTTCTCCACTGCCTCGCCAAGTTATTGCCGCTCTCAGGGCTAAGGACTCTCTCAAAAACTTGCATGCCGAAATGCAGCCTTTGAGAGCGAGGAAAGTGACATTGACCCGGAATATTTTCTTGACACACTGTTGCCATTTTGTTTGACGTGCCAAAGCCTACATCTGCTGGCTTCATGCTTAACAAAAGGTGAAAAGGGTACCAACTCATACAAACACAAATCCATAACCGGCCTTGAACCACAAGCCCAACACTCTGGCCCTGGTCTGCTTTCTAGATCCCATTCGCGTCCAACCCCGCAACGATCCCTTCGGCCTCCCTCGAAATTCCAAGAGCTCTGCTTTTCCAACAGGTAGAAAACAAAAAGCGATTTCGCCCATCCCCAAACCGGCCCCCCCCGCCCCCGCCCCCTCCCCCCCCGGCTTGGCCAGGCCCCCTGCAACAAAAATGGGGGGTTCCGGGCCAGAGGTTCGGCCGATGAGCCAAACCCGGCTCTGCCCCATGCCATGGAGCCCCCCCCCCCCCTGCATATCAGACAAACACCATACACCAACCCGCCGAAGCCGTCCACCCGCGCCCCCAACCCCACCCCTTGACCCCCCGGCCTTGTTGCACCTGGCGGGGTCGCTGAGCTTCGAGCCGCAGCTCGCCATCACGGCGTTGAAGTGCAGGTCCAGGGACCGGCGCCGCTTGGGGCCCGCGGGCAGCGTCATCCTAGCGACTTCCGACGCCCCACGTGTCCGACGTCCGGAACTCCGTGGGTCGCAAACCGCCGCTCCAAGGGGATTTCCCCGAAGACTTTTTGGTTGTCCCAGGTGTTGAAAGGGGCAACCGCCTTGTTGGAAGGGGTACCCTAGCTTTCAACGTGCTAAGCCCGGAATCAAGAAGCGCCCCACGCATTGTCAAAGAGGTTTGTTCTGAGTGCAGAATCGTCTCTTCTAGCAGGATTCTTAATCAGGAGTCGACATTTTTGAGAAAGAATGACTTCTACTCACTTGGGTTTGTCTCAAAGTGGCGGTATTTCTTTGTCTTTCTTGAAAGCACGCCAAAAAGCTCGGATCCCATGACCACATGATTTACAAGGCCCTCTAGATCAACTGGTGAATGTGATTTGTTGATCCTTCAGGGTGCCCGGTGGGGGAAATAAATGTGAAGAGTCTTCAATATCTTTGACTGGGCATGGGCCGACATGGACAAAAGCACACCTGGTCGTGGAAAAGCAAATGGGGCGGTAAAATCAATCAACCACTGGGGTACGCTGATGACCCTGCCGAAGCGAGCGGTTTGAAACAACGAGGCATGGCAAAATTTAGAGCGGTTCTTGCCGAAGAGCGGTGTCATCGGAGGCGGTTTCGTCTCCTCGTCATTCTCCAGCAGGGCATCTAGGCTCAAAGGAGGTCAAAGGAGGTCAAAGGAGGTCAAGGGATGTTCAGTTCCGGGCGTGCAGTGCTGATGGGCAACATGTGAGTCACAATCAAAACCCGGTATTAAAATGGTCCACCCAGAACCATGTAAAGAATCAAGAAGGCGGCCACAACTATTTCTAGCTGGGACTGCCCCTTACTAACCTTCATCTACCCGGGTTTTAATTGTGGCTCATGTGGCATCTTACGTTCAACGAACTCCAGTCACGTTCACTTGGCTTGGTTGCAGCGGCCAAACCAAGTCGGCCTCGACCAAAAACAAGCTGCCAAGGCACGGTATTTGAAGCCGCGGTCCTTCGCTGGAGCAGGGCCATGGTCAAAATACGAAACCTTCTGTTGGCTTTAAAAAGGAGACGCCTACCTTGGTAGGGTGCCCGTTCTGACGGCTGGCTTGCCACTGGGCCAACACCTTGGTAGGGTGCACTGCGCTAACCTCCCTGGATGATTTTCTCAAAGCACATAGTGGCTTGGGCATGCCTAGTTTGAGAACCCAATGCAGTTGGGCGGAAAGGAAGTCTACCACGCGGTTTTGGGGAAATCAGCCACTGAGAAAGTCTACCTCAAATTGGTGATTGTCCTAAGCTTCCCTTTCAGCCCCCAAAAAGCGACACCAAAAAAAGAAGCTCCAAAGGGCAAAACCGCCTCACCGAAACCCCAGAGCGCCTCGAAGTCGAAGGGCGCCGGCGGCCAGGCTTTTCCCGCTTCGGACTGCGCCTGGCGAAAAAAAGGCGCTGGCGAGTTGAGCTTCGGCACTCACCGAGGAAGCCACCCGCCCCCCATGGAGGAAAGACACCATGTGGCTGTGGGTCAAAAATCGGAACTCCAAAATCGAACCCTACAAAATGGAAACATGGACTAAAACCTGCGGTCCATATCCTGGTGGCTTAATTTTGACCCACAGCCATGTGAGTCACAGTCAAAACCCTAAAAAGGCGAATATCCGCAGCTATTTATGGTTGGGATCGTCCTTTACTAATCCTTTACTAAGCTTCATCTACCGGGGTTTTGATTGTTGCTTATGTTGTCGTTTGTCCTTCTTTCTGCTTGTCAGCTCCAAGCATGTCCTTGATTCTCGCCCAAGCCGCAATGGGTCACCCACGAAACTTGCACGCGCGCACACACACACACCTACAAATATGTGCATAGACATCTACATATTATATATATATATACATATTCAGAACTCCAGCTCAAAAAGCAAAACAAAGCCAAGGCGTGCGCAAGAAAGTCACGTGTCAGAGATCGAAGACCCCTAGATCCCGGGCCTGCTGCGCTTGACGAAACTCCTGCCGACGAACGACTTCCCGTCAAGCAAATTAGTCACAATCACAGCCTGGTACAAAAATGGTGAACGCAGAACCAGGCAAAGAACTAGAAAGGCCGCAACTCTTTCCTCTGGGACTGCCCCTTACTATGCAGCGAGGGCTGCCGGAACTGAGTGTGATGCCACCGGAAGGTCTTGCCAATTCGGCCAGGGCCGGGGGCAATGACCACCATGATACAACAGAAAGGGCTTCCCAAAGACGAAATCGTTCATAGAAAGGGGGATTCCCTTGTATCACGGATAAACCCCTTGATCCCACCACCCTCAGTTCGACTATTTATTTGTTACTTGAAGGGGATTACGGAACTGGGAACAGCCCCTCATTCCAAGTTCGTTTTCATGGACCCCCAAGGGGGGCTGTGGGGAGGGGGGGCTCTCAACAAACTGTGCAACAGGCCGCCGCTAGGCGCAGCTTGGGGCTCAATTCATATCATGAGTGAGCTATGGGGCTTGTGTGTTTGAGGGCACACCTTTCTGGGGTTGGTTGGGTTGCTAGAAAGGAAACACAAAAGAGAACTTCTATGGGTCCCCGGGTTGGAGACAAACCCATATTACAGTCTTGAATAGGTTCTGGCTACAAATGTGAATGAAAATCCGGCCAACGCCCGCACCAGTCCTTCACTCGCTGCTTTTGCCTTCTTTGAAGCAGGTTCAGCGAGGAATCCGCGTCGTCGTCCTCACTGCCGCTTAAATTCACGGCGCGCAGATAAGTTGATCGAAGCCAAAGCGAGGTCAAGACAGGTTTCCACATAACGGGTACAAGCCGAACGAAACTCCAAACAGTAAATATGTTCTGGGTGCGGGATGTTGTGAGGGTACGCTTTTCACCTTGGTGTGAAGGGAAACCAAAAGGAAACCACCATTTGGTTGTCTTTCTTACTTTGACACAGACCCATTGTGTACCTATAGGTATATATTCATGCATATATATATGAATACATATATATATATATATGAAATATATATATATATGTGATATCGCACTGAGCCAACAGGGCACATTCCCTTAGTGCTTCTTGATCCGCACAAGTCCTCGGCGGCGAAAAGGTCCGCCACGTGCGGCCGGTCCTGGGGACAGCAAACACAAAAGCAATCACGATGGCAGCCCGAGCGCGTAGTGGTGCAAACATGGAACCCCTGACCACTGCCTGGTCCGGGCCCTCGCCTTAAGAGTTCAAGCAACCTGGGAATTTTCAAGTACTGTGCATAGGTGTCATTTTAGATGGGTTTCCCTAGTAGATGATTGAACCACCAGGACAACCAGGAATCGCCATCTATGCAAAACAACCAAAAAGGACACCTATGTTTATATGGGTTTGTGCCAACATAGGGGAACCCACAGAATGGGTGGCTTCCGTTCGGTTTCCCGCTTACTCGAAAAAATACAACAAAGTTCAAACCACGGTGAGGACTTCATCCAAATCACCTCCACTTAGACAAATTTATGGTTAGCAAGTGTAGCATCTGTGCCAACGGACATCATATGGTACAACAGTGACAGGACAAAAGCACTCTTGGTATAGCGGCAATCAGCATCGAGTACTTCACCGCAGTTTTGCTGTAGGGCTCAATCCTTCGTAATGGCTATCATCTGACCGTTGCCAAACAAGCCGCGGTTTGATTTGAGCTGGGTTGCTCAAAAAGCGGATTTGGATCCCGAATCCTACGCGCGAGTGCAACAAGGGAAACCACATCCGTCATGAGGAGTTCCGTTAGACTTGGACCCACCCAGCTACACTTTCTAGAGGAACCTCCATTGCAGGGCGCCCCTTTTCGGATCCAAGTCCACTTGCAGGGGAGCAACAGTTTTCCAATCCTCCGGAGTGGCACAGGATGCTGAACCGGATGCGTCCTGGCGACGGGAGGTGCCATAGGGGCCTGTCTCAACGTGGAGAACCCTCTTTCAGGGTTCCTGAAAGGATAGATCCTTCACAAGAGGCTCCTCTACATCAGCTTTTGTGTGAAGTGGCCCAAATGTATCCACCAAGAGATCCCCTGCTTTGGCAAGGTTTGAAAGGGAACCAAAGGCATAGACCCCACTTTGGGAGACGGAGTGCTCCTGTGCCGCGGCTGGAAACAAGCACACCTGGTCGGGTTCGAAGCAAAGTTGCGCTCAAAAAAAATCGAAGGCCGCACTCCAGCCAAAGGGGCGAATGTTGGCTGCAGAAAGACGTGGCAAGTGGGTCAACCTCCAAATCGGTTAGCCCCCCAGTGAACATCCGATTCAATCCAACCACTACAATAGGTCCTAAAATGGGTGGTGAATTCACCTACACCAAAATGGGATCCCAAAACGGCGTTCACCCACGGCCAAGTAATCAGGGGCGAAAATGTGGCCGGCTCGGCTCCGTCCCTTTGCTGAGCATCCAGCCGCCACAAGCAGCCTTCAGTCAGAAGCGACCGATGCCCACAGTCTTCATTTATACATTTCTTCAATAGCAATCTACCACTCAGACTCACTAAGGCCGTGGCCAAGTAGTCACCATGCCGGAGAAAAAACGCTTTGGACAACTGGCAGAGCCAAAAAACTGCAGCAATTGCACCATTCCGTGTCCGCCAAATTGTGATTGAAATGAAAAAAAGTGCGCAGTTCATCTTACCAAGCACATTGCGATTCCCTCAGATTGACCACGATGCCAGCACAAAAAGACCAGGGGGTAGCATTCGGTAGCATCACATATTCTTTAGACTGGCCATCAATTGGCAACTGGAGGCCCTTTGAAGTGAGAGAAGAGATGGAGGAGTTTGGGTGACGAGAGGAATGCCGGAAAGCCAGTGATAAAAAGATATGGTTGATAAGTAAGATATGTCGCAAAACAAATCTTGTTGTGTGCATGTCTCTGTGGAAGATGCCGGAAAGCAAAGGGGTTCAAAGAAGGTCGCCTTGCATGGCCAATGAGCGAGCCGGCTATGCATCACACGTCTTGCATGTTGCCGTTTGCCGTTTGACGATGCTTGCACTGGCAGACTGGCCGGCGAACTTCATGAAGCCTGCCCATGGCTTTCGTGACCGGTCATGACTCATTGGCTCATGCCGAGCGGGCAAACCACCAGCCCAAACCTACAAGGATCTGGCAAGGGTCAAGCAGGAGAACAAGCCAAAACTGCGCATAAGACATGATGAAGTTGACAACCATCGAGTGATGAAATCCGTTCCCCCCCCCCAATACTAAATAAACCACATGAAACTCGCTCGGGAGCGGACAAATCCTGCCCAGATAAGCGGGGACAGAGGGAAAGCGAAGGGAGATAAGAAAGAGAGAGAGAGAGAGAGAGAGAAAAGAGAGACGAGAGAGAGAGAGAGAGTAGGGCGAAAGAAAGAGGAAAGAGAGAAGAAAGATCGACAGAAAAAGAGAGAGAGAGAGAGAGAGAAAGAGAGAGAGAAGAGAGAGAAGAGAGAGAAGAGAGCAAGAAGAGAGAAAGGAGAAAGAGAGAGAGAGAGAAAGACGAGAGCGAGGGAGAGAGAGCAGGAGAAGAGAGGGAAGAAAAGGAGACGAGAAAGAGAAAGAGAAAGAGAAAGATAAAGAGGAAGAGAAAGATAAGAGGAGAGAACAGAAGAGAAGAGAAGAGAAGAGGAGAGAGCGAGAGAGAGCGAGAGAGAGAGAGCGAGAGAGAGACAGAAAAAAGGTAGGATGATCAAGCCATCATAAATCTCCAGTTTGGTCGGAAAAAACCTGCAAACAAAAACATCCTTTAGCAGCTTAAACCATCAGCCCATGGACGATCCCAGCCAGGTGGTGAAAAGAAGCATTACGCGGCTACAAGACATGATTAGTTTCCTCTTCAATTCAGAAAAATGGAGATAACCGGTGAAAGGTTCCCCACGATTACAACTTGTGTGTGTGTGTTGACTTTTGTCGATGTGTCCAATGATTTTCCGCACAAGAATGGGGAAACATCACCTTCAAGAGCACAATACCGTGGTTAGGTACTGGTGAACTCCCCGCCCATTTTGGTGACGGCGAAAATCTCCGGAATTTCTCTGCGGAGAATGCTCCGGAAAGTCCCAGGTGAAGCAGCGGATTAAGGTGTGACACGAAAATAAAATAAATAAAGAAAGAAGCCAGCAACCTGTAGCAAGTGGGGGGCTGGCGCATCTTTTGGTGCATCTGCAGATCCTGGATCAAACAAGGACGCAAGCTGCAGGTTGCTTGAACTATGTACACTCTCGCTGAAAGGCGAACAACCTGAATGGGAATCGCCAATATTTCGGACGCAACAAATACCAAAGGTTCCCCAGATCCATCAAAACGACCTGAAACAGATACTAGGGGGAGAAGAAAAAAAAAAGGAACCTTTCGGTTCATCTTCCTTACCTCAGCTGTCTTGCAAGCTCACCCCGCCGGACACCTCAGTCACCTCCATCTCTGCCCTTCGTTGCGCGTCGCGGGCCAACTGGGGCCAGTCGGATTTTGCAACTGCAATCATCAGAAACACGCAGGCCTTAGCCGTGAACCGGAGCCGTGGCAGACTGGTGAATATGGTGTTACTTTTGGGGAAAACACTCCCTGTCCCCAAATGAGTACCTGGTATGGCCTTCATTGTTTGCAGAAAACCTGAGATCTTATGATTGAACAGGGATCCCTACATGCCAACACCTGAACATTGCATTGTAAATGGTGGCTTCCCTTTTTTTTGGTCTTGAAAAAGCAACATGTTTCAAATGGTGGCAAAATAGATCTTTTAAGGAGCCCTGAATATGTTGATACCTTTGGGGAAAACACCTGACACTGGGATGGATAGCTCTTTTGCTGGAAAATGAAAACAAGATCAGGGATCCTTATGCATCCACATTGCAACACCCACTGGATCGTCTGGAAAATGAGAAAACCAAAAGACCTCAAGACCGCTGGCCGAAGCCTTCGGAGGGCCGAAGCCGGAGTAGGCGGGCATGGAAGCCTTCGGCTGAACGGGGGAACCTGAACCGCTCGTAGTTGTACCCCAAGGCACTCCGCCCATGTCACAGAGATATGGATGTTTAATCTGCCCCTGCAGTGGCTGCATTTTGTTTTATTCTTGCTCTTTTTTAGTTTTGTGTTTTTCCCCCGATTTTTTGCACATTTTGGATGCCTGGTCTGTCCCTGACGTGGCCCTGCCTGTATCTTTTTCATCTTTTTATTTTTTCCCTCGCGTTTTTGCGCTGTCTGCCCCCGAAGTGTCCCTTGCTGCATTTTGTTCATTTTTGTTTTTGTTGTTTGTTCTTTTTCTGTCTTTTCATCGAGTTTTGCACGTTTTGGATGCCGGGTCTGGCTGCATTTTGGTCTTTTGTTGTTCTTGTTTTCAGTCTTTTCATTGACTTTACTTGTGTTTTTGCAGCTGTGTCTTGTCTTTTTTTGTTGATTTTTGTTGCCATGCCGGGTATTTTAAGTTCACATAAAATGTGCAAAGCCCTGAGGAAAAAACAAAACGATGAAAGAACAAACTGCAGCCAGGGACAGTTCAGGGGCAGACCGACCAGCATCCAAAATGTGCACTTGTTTTTGTTTTGCTTTGTTTTATTCGTGTTGTTTGTATTGTTTTGTTGTTGTTTTTTTGGTTTTTGGTGTGCATGTTGGTTTGTGGTTTGTTTAATCTTTTTTGTAACTCCCAACAATTGCCTCAGTGAAAGTCTTGACAGTAAACGGAAGAGCCGAGGCACGAGTGAGTAGCCAACGCTGAGCCCTTCACAAATGCCCAGCAGGCCGTGCGCCCTTCCCAGAAAGTAGCTACTGGGGAAGCCCAGCAACCAACAGCACACTGGCAGGGTGATGCTCACGATCTTGGTGCGGCCTTGCCTGGTCAGCACCTGACGAAGCCGAAAGGAATCAGGTCTGTGTGTGTGTGTCTCTGTGTGTGTGATCGTGCGTGTGTGCTTGTGTGCGTGGCTTCACTTCTACAGTGCCTTGCCGAGTATAGGTCTGAAGAGCGCTCTGCGCAGTCTAAAGGACTGGTGTAACGTTGGCTGATTCGTGGCTCTGATCCCTGTGAAAAGCGCCTTCGAACGGCTGATTCGAAATGGCCGCTACGAAACGGTAATCGAATCGTTCCAGGTTGCTTTTCCCGGCGCATCTGCTTGTCTGTCTTCAGGTCTGCTTGTTTGAAATTTGTTTGTCCTCTGTCTCTGTCTCTGTCCGTCTGTCGTGACGACCCCTCAGACCTTCGGATCGCTCGCTGAGCCAGAAAACAGGACCCCCGACTCCTTTCGCGGAGCCAGCAACGCATACCTTGTTGACGCCTGCCAGTTCCTCGAAAAGCAGCGAGGCGTAAGGTTCCAACAAGTCGTCACAGCCTTCACCGACCAAAATGGGTCTTTCTACGGAAAATGCGCATCGGAATGAGCCAGTTTCTCAGCTCAAGCCACGGTGACCAAAGGAAGAACTTCACCCACCAATGCGATGGTCACGGCGCCCGCCCACCTGAGCCGCAGCAGCTGCTCCTGCACCACAGGGTCCTGGGGCGCAAGTGCGCAGCTTGCACCCCTGCCTCGTCTTGGGTGTGGGTCAAAAATAGGTACCCAAAATGAAACCTGGCAAATGGAAACATGGACTAAAACTGGCGGTCCCCTAGTGGTTTAAGGGAAACCAACAGGACCACGAGATGAAACCAGAGAAGCTGGATGAGAAAATCTCGGAGAGACGAACAAAGACATGTCTTTCTTGGTTCGGAAGCCTTGGATATGTTGTTGGGCCTCTCCTATCGATCAAGAACAAATCTATGATCGCGGGTTCATTCGCAAATATCTTACAGCATCCAAGCTTCTCGGTTTTTTGCCAAAATGGTTCAAACACAGACGTGCGGTCGCAAAGCAAATCCATTTCCATCCCCTCCCAAGTCCTTGGACATCAAGCGCACCAGCACCGGCATGAGCACAAACGCCAATCCTGCAAAGAGCGCGCAGGGAGAGCAGCGCGCGCAGGGTTTTGCCAACAATCCACGGCTCGGGGTATGAAGGGCCCCAGGCCTGCAAGCTCATGGAGTACTGGTATCTTGCCCCAAAAGTGGACCCGCCTTTGTCATGAAATGCGTCGAGCCATGTGGTTGATTCGGATAGACCCAAACGCAGGAGAATCCAGCGTCGCCGGGCTTTCCCCCCAGTCAGTCACTACGTTCGCCATGCGTCATCGCCAAACCATAGGGCAAACCGCAAGTGATGGTGGTGAGGTAGTCTACCCAAAACAATGTAATCTGCCGACCCCAGCCTGCTCACACCGAGGAGGGGAACATCGTGGTTTACAACTATTGAGCTATGCGCCATACGGGAAACTCTTCATTTTCCGAAAATGTTCCAGGGCCGGCCCTAGGGCTGGCTCTGGGGGGGACAAGGCCGAAGACTGGAACGTTGCACGATGTTAAAAACAAAATGAAGGAGGTCTGGGGCTATTGCTGGGCTTGCCCCAGGGCCTTCGACTCCTCCCTGGTCAAGTCTGACTTGTGAGGTGCGAAAAATCAACATTTCGCGCCTCACAAAATTAGACCGCGCCGGTTGGGGTCGGCGGCAGTCAGGCGTCCAACAAAGAAAGGGATGTGGGCATATATATTCCAGTCCCCAAGCCACCAACCCTCCCCCCAATCACACCTATGTCCCCTGGAACATGTATCCACATCTATTCACGGTTGGGACTATTCCCATGCCAGGGTTTGGCTTGTGGCTCAAATGGGTTTGTTTGAGGGTACCCTGTTCACGTTGGCTTGGGAAACCAAAGGAAAGCGACCAAACGGAGAAATTATTTTATAGAGGCGTTTGCTGCGATTCCGATTTCTTTTGAAGTGGCCGCCCGTAGTCAGTAGATGGCCCATGTTGGCGCCTTGTGTCTTTTTGTTGATAGTATCATACCTTTTTTCTGGCGGCAATGAACTTTTCACGAGAACTCACCATGCAAATTAATCGAGCCATGACTTTCCTCTTGCTTCCTCCTCAAAACCAGCCAGAATGACACAAACACCCAGCGCTCCTGCCATGAAAACCCCACCTATGAGCGACACCACGACCCCCAGCTTTGCCACGAAGGCGGCGCGCTCTGCATCGCCCTCGCCCAGGCGTTTGGCCATGCGGATTCCCACACTGTCGCCCATAGACATGGCGAAGAGGAAGGACAAGATGATGATGTTCATCGCCTAAAAGAAGCGGGAAATAATGAAAAAGGTTGGGAACTCAGCCAAAAGTCCGGCAAAAACCTGGGTGGGACTGGGGAACCGCTTGAACAAATCGAAGCCATGACTCCTTCCCTTAATCTGAGTTGCGATTGTACACAAAAGCGCCGCCACCATTTTGAGGTCTGGACGCAAAACCTTTGAACAACTGGAAAAATGAGGTCACCCAAAAATCGTGTCCGCCCAACAACATCCTCAGCATCCCGGCCCGAACAGCCGTTTGCTTGGCATGCGTGAGCGGCCGCCCGAATCCCGGGCCAAAACTGCGACCAGGGGGGGCCCTGGGGTCGTCTGCGGGGCTTCTGGAAAGGCGGGGGTCGGCGAACGCCAAAGACAGATGGGACTAGTTGGGGGGGCCTCAAAAACTGTTGGCGGACATTCCTCCCAGCTAAGCTGGGGCAGAGGGCAGAGGGCAAACGCCTCCCGCCGAGCTCCGCGCACCAAGCCTTAACCATTCCTGAGAAGGTCGATGTTTTATAGCGCCACTGGTGCCGGAGCCCTTGAATGTGAGCAGTTTCCGGTGGTCATATTTGTCGGTTGCGGCGATTGTCCTCTCAGAGAAAAGCTCAAAAGACGAGGGCATTTGGAGTTCAGTTTGGATCAATGGGTCTAAAATGATCTAGCGGAAGTTGAAATCAGTTGAAAAGGTAGATATGATGTGGGAAAAGAATCAGGGACTGGCAAAGATGGTCATCTGGTGCGCAAAACGACAAAATGTGGGTCAATAAATCGAATCATGTTCGAAAAGACTTGAGGGGAACACCATCCCAAAATCAGAATGTCAAATCGGACCCACAAGCAATTGGCTTAGTCTGACCCCCCTTCCCCCAATAGATCATCCGCCGAAATCCAGTGACTTGTTCTACCAAATCGGTCATAAGGTTGGTAAAATGGCCAATGGAAGTCTTGGGTGCTCAGATGGGTAATTGGGGGGAAGGATAAACCGCAACTGCAGCCAGGAGACCAAGTTAAACGCCGCGGTTTCGGCGGGCCCGATCTCTCCAGCCATCAGAGTGCAAACCTGAAGATTCCAAACGGAGCATTTGGTGGATGTTCTCAATGCGCAGCTTTCTGGAAAGAGAAAGAGCTGTGGATGTTCTGACTGGAACCTCAAACAAGCAGAAAGAATGGGTTGCTTCATGATACCATTCATCTCCAGTTGTTTGGGGGCCCAGAATTAGAACTCGGACTTGTGCTCGGCATTGGGAGCGACTCCTTTCAGTCTTGCAACTGTCGCTGATTCCCATACCTCCTTTGGCCTTCTGAACAGACCCAACCAAATTTGTGGGAAATTCAAGACTCCATCACATCTAGCCAGAATCAGCGGGGAAACTCAAAACTTTCCCAAAACTCTCAAGACTTTCCTGCCTGGAACTGCAGTTCTTCAGCCAACCCACCAATTGCTGCAGGAATCGTCATGGCCAACAGCCTTCGCCAGCGCTCTCCCACAAAGATCTCCTTCAGATTTGCTCTGGCAAAAAAATATCGGGTGATATCACCAACAGCATGCGGTGGAACCCTGGTGGAACCCTCGTGGAACCTTACCTCAGGGCCGCCCCGGACCACCCCGGAGCCTATCTGGGCTGAGACCCCAAAGCTTTCAGCTGTTGGGGAAAAAATATCATCTTCCCCGAAAGAGGAAAAAAAACACGCGACAGGCGAGCTCCTTCGTGGACCAGCCGGGCCAAGTCTTCTTGTGATAGCCCTTGCTCCAGCATACCAAGATGTAGGTGATAGTTCCTGGCGAGCGCACGCAAAACTGCTCCAAACACGAGGCACGAAGCAAATGGCTGTGGGTCACTAGTAGGGTCACCCCGAAGGTTGCCCCTGGTAAGTCAAAACATGGATTAAAACCTGCGGTCCCCTGGCGGTTTGATTTTGAGCCATACTGAAATGAGACTCCATGTCTGCTTGTGGTCCAACATGATCGGGGACGCTAACACCAGTTGAAAGCCGGGCTTCGAAGGAGCTTCGCGGTGCAGAAAGCCAAGGCGGCGCCAACAAGGCCACCTTTCAGGGGGAAAACTGCGACATACGTCACCACGAAATTCACCAGGACGAAGATGGCATCCACAATCGCCGCGGGCACTGTGATCTGCTGCGCCGCATAGTACTCTTTGATGGAATAATACCAAACGTCGAAGAGAAAACCTACTTGCGACCAAATGGTATAGATCCCAGCGGCCACGGCCACATCATGATGAAGATGAAAGGCCTCCAAAATCGGCGTCGTGAGAAAGCGAAGAAGCATGAAAGGAGTTCCAGCCACCGTCACAAAGACCAGATAGATCTGCAACCACGTACCTGAGCACGGGAACTCATTGATGCCGTGCAACTGAAATCCGCTGCCGCCTTGATGCTTCACACAATTTATCCACACGTCTTAAAGTAACACACGAACAACACAGGATGCTAAGACGAGAAAAAGGTCGCACCAAAAACATCACCAGCCGACAGCCAAGTTGGGAACTAAAGATCCGACCAAGGCATAATTGCCAGCTCCGTACGCCTGACTGCAGAACATGGACAACTGTCCAATCCTTGGCTTTGCCGGTCGAAGCAAAACCCACTTGTTTCGGTCACACGCATACGCCTATTGACTCGACCATTGGGCACTTCCAATTAGATGGTGTGTGACCAAAAATGACAATTTGGGGAGATTTGTTGCGGCTCCGGTGAGTTTTTTAATCATACGCCCACCCAAGACATCACATCCCACGGTACATGTACATATGCTAACCTGTACAAATATCGATATGTGTATATATATATATATATGTATATATATGTATATATATACCATGCACGCATAATTTCGGATATATATATATATATAATGGTAATACGTATATACGCGGTATCATGCGCTTAGTACGAAAATACACCAGCACGTGCTGGCACATCCTAAAGCCCTTCCCTGGGAATTGTCAATCCAAAATGTGTCAATCCAGGGTGTACCAACATCCTAACATCCTGGACACCTGGACACAATAGAGATTCTCAGAACATTTACCTGAGAATCTTCAACCCAGAATACGCTAGCACTCGCTAGCACATCCTGCTACCTTTTGGAATGAAGACTTCCACTTCAATCTTCAATCCAGCATGAACTGGCACGTACTCGCGCATCTTTGCACCAAGCACATCTTAGAACTAAGGATGTTGAACGACATAGAACTCGAGGTGCAGGAGTAGCACTGCATCAAGATTGAAAACTAGAATCCTACAAATTCCACGCATTCTTAATAAAAGGAAAAGCGTGAAAGAGCTCTCTTTAGCTTTATTTTGGGCTTGAAGTGCCTCTTTGCACCCGAACACAAATGGCAAGGACCTGCTGCATGTTTACCTTCCAGGGGCCGAAATGGGGGCTGGGGGCGTATTGGGGCTCCTACAAACATTCTGCAATGCACACAAGTCACGCGCAATGTTGCCAACACCATGCGCATCGACCTACACAGCAGATACACAGCAGATGCACAGCAGATGCACAGCACCTGAAGGCAATTGCTGTGCTCATATCCACTCCCATTGGGGATCATCATGCCAGGGAAATTGCATCCTACCCGTTGCACTTGCTGTGCTTGATTCACCTGTGGCATAGGCATCAAGTTAACAAAATGTGTTTCGCGCATCTGCCATTGCAATGCTTCTGTCGGGTCCCACGAATGCGCGATTGACATCCGGCACAAACCTGACCTGAAATCCTTGGCAAGTAGCATATGTGCTACTAATTGAAGATGTATGTGCGTATGCCTATATATATATATATACATATACATATACATATACCTGTATACCTACGCGATGATATGGGTATGGGTCAAAATTAAACCACCAGGATATGGAGCGCAGGTTTTGGTCCATTCCGTTTACCAGGCTTCCATTTTGGGGATTCCTATTTTTGGAGCCACAGCCATATGGCTCCCGTGGCTTGCATAGCGTCCCCGCAAAGAAGAGCACGTCCGTCACCGAGGTCCAGATCCCGGCCACGGAGACTGCAGCAAGGGCCACGGTGTCCAGACGCCCCAAAATCACACTGCTGACCAACCTTACTGGCTAGTGGGTTGGTGAGGTTGGCGGGGTGGGTTGGTGGGTTGGCGGGTCGGCGGGTTGGTGGGTTGGCGGGTTGGTGGGGTTGGTGGGTTTGGTGGGTTGGCGGGCTGGTGGGTTGGCGGGTTGGTGGGTTGGTGGGTTGGTGGGTCGGTGGGTTGGCGGGTTGGTGGGTTGGCGGGTTGGTGGGTTGGTGGGTTGAGTGGGTTGGCGGGTTGGTGGGTTGGCGGGTTAGTGTGTTGGGGGGGTTGGTGGGTCGGTGGGTTGGCGGGTCGGTGGGCGGGCTGGTGGGTTGGCGGGTTGGTGGGTTGGTGGGTTGAGCGGGTTGGCGGGTTGGCGGGTTGGTGGGTTGGTGGGTTGGGTTGGCGGGTTGGTGGGTTGATGGGTTGGTTGGGGTGGGTTGGCGGGTTGGTGGGTTGGCGCTGTCGGGTTGGTGGGTTGGTGGGTTGGTGGGTTGGTGGGTTGGTGGGTTGGTGGGTTGGTGGGTTGGTGGGTTGGTGGGTTGGTGGGTTGGTGGGTTGGTGAGTTGGTGGGATGGTGGATTGGTTTGCTGGGTCGTTCATTGGTTGGTTGCTTAGTTGGTTGCTTGGCTGGTTGGTTGGTTGTTTCGTTTGTTCGTTTGTTTGTTGGTTGGTTCGTTGATTCATTGGCTCGTTGGTTCGCTGGTTGGTTGGCTTGTTGGTTGGTTGGTTGCTTTGTTGTCGAGGAGTTAGTTGGTTCGTTGGTCGGGCGGGCGGTTGGTTGGTGGAGCCTTGTATGTACAGGTCAGTATGTCTGAAGAACAACTTTAGGCTGACGTGTAAAGTAGTTGGTTGATCCAACTAAGAATATGTGACCACATAGGGATTCAGACCCGACGTGCATTTCGGCTTGCTTTTTAGACTCCCATGGCTGCGCGTCAAAAACAGTACCAAAATGGCACCTTGTTAAATGGAACCGAAAACTAAAACCCTGCACGACGGTGGCTCTTTAATTTTGAGCCACACCCATTTGTCCACCCGAAAAGCTCCCTCCCGCGTAACTTCTTGCCTTCCACGCCACATGTTGAGACTTCCACTGGCATTGGACAAGGCCAGAGGGACCCCCAGCCTCACAATCTCCCAGAGCTCTAAGAAGACCTGGTGCAATTAAAAACTCAGGGGCAAAGGGGGGGTGGGGAGGTAAGGGAAGGTGGGTTGAGGGTTGGGGGTCAATCCCCAAACCAATCCAACCCACCAATTAAAGGGGAAAGGGGAAGGCACCATGGAGTTCCTAACCCATCAAAATGTGCTTTGAGCATATGGGTAAAGGGGATGCGAAAACCATGATGCATGTAAGCCATCTACTTTGATCCCTGGCTTTTGGATGCCTGGCACGCCTTTTCGGAAAGTCCGACCAATTGTACCTTCTTTCGGAGGCGGGATGGTATCTACCCACACAAGTTCAAATCCCCAAACCAATCAACCAATTGAGAGTTGTCTGAAGCAAAGCTTGGGCATGTTCCCTGAGGAAAACTAGGGTCAGATCCCTCTTTCACCGTTGCAACCCAAACCCAAAGGTTATGCACTGGTTGGCCTGGTGGCTTGAAATCCTGCGGCTCCTTCACATGTAGCTTCTTGGGATCCCAAAACACCGGGCACACCAGGTCACCTTTGGTGAAGCGCTCCGAATCGAACATCGCTTTTGAAATGGCCTTCAAACAATATAGGTATGAATTTTGATAAGGGGCCCTTTCATTTATTTGGGGATTCTTGTCCACCAATCACTGTTGAGGTAATTCATGACCATATAACAAAAACACACTGCAAAGCACTCGCTCAACCGCTTCAAGGAGCGCTCCGCAGGGACTTCCGTTCGCCCAGCATCTCCTGGTCGAGGTCAGCTCGCTCGGACATGGCGCAGTTCGCGCTCGCCGACGCTCGGCGAAGGCGCAGCAAAGGTGTGGATTTGTGGATGGGGAAAAAGCCCGCATTCAACACACCATGGAGGCTTGGTTTCACGATATTTGTAGCCACTCGCTGTGTTGGATATTCGAGCGTTGGTGCCAAATTTGGCCTGCGCAGGCCACTTGGTGTCCGGGGCTGTAACATAGCCCAGATATCGGACTAATGAATGTCCTCCAATCACGTAACCAGTCTTGCTTTGGAGGGGGGGTTGTCGGCCAGGGTTTTCTCGGGTCGGCCTATCAATTCGAGAGGCAAGACCAAGTCTGCACGCTGAGCAAACTCAGCCGCATCAAGCGCCAAGGAGCTTAGGGGGCCACCCGTTAGTTTAAACATGTTTCAACCACTTCTGATGATTCTTCGGTGTTTAAACCATATTGTGCCCCAAGCCTTGTGGCTGTGTCCCAGAATGGAACGGCCCTTGGGCCTTGGGGTCTTGGGGCCTTGGGGCCTCCCCTGGTGAGTGCCAGGCACGCCAAAACCTGCGTACGCATCTGTTTTGTAGGCATCCTAGAACCAGCCAATCTTCAGACCTTTCCAAATGTGTTCCAAATTCACAAGCTCGGAAGCCTTGCAACACCTTTGAAAGCAATCCATCGGCCACTCTGCCAATTTCAGCCTTATCCCAAAACGTGCCCTGTCCAAATCTTTGCCCCGTCAAAGTGACCCTAACCTTTCCACATATTCATGTACAAGTATATACTCACATAGAGATTTACATATCATCCAATATATTGACACAAAGCACAGGCAACAAAATACAATGATGATGCGTAGATCAATACAACCATCTAGCAGCTAACTCTCATGCATCGTGTTCTTCTTATATTCATTGTCGCATCGAGTGTCAACAATTGGCAATATAATACGATCTGATCAAGTCTGCTATATCCCATCGCCATACCAAATCGTCTCTCACTTGGGTGTAGACGCTGCGTGACTCCTTGGCCAGCGCTCCATTGATCGAGTTTGGAAAAGGGGAGCGAAGGAAGCTCAATGTTCCGGGTGCAAGTCGGCTCAATTTGCCGTGTGATCATTGCCCATCGCCGGGTTGCTCGAGATTGCGTGGGGCGCGTCCGCCACGTGGTGCTCACAGTTTTGCCCGAAGGAAAACAGCCGCGCTCACAGACACGTGTCCACCAACAGAAAAAGCTTGAGCGGCGCGTCAACCTGACAAAAGGCGCAGGCCAAATCACTCTTGATCGCCCGAATCTATTCATGAGCTCAAATTGCTGGCTGCGGGGCAATGCTCGAGATTGCGAGGCGAACAGAAAAAGTAAAGTTGCTTCAGGCACACCGTATGAAAAGGACGGCTCCGTCGCCCGCTGTGTAAGCTCTGTGCAGCGGGTAGGCTGCACAGAATTCTGCGCTTGGACGCCCGCCAGGTGTCAATTTCCAGAGCCAGGCTAAGGTTACTACAGGGTTACCGTTTGCAAGTGAAGCTCTTCGCCGCCTCAACTCTCTGGTGATGTTCAGCAGATATGTTGCCTTTTTCAGCTTTGGCACATGGTAAACCTTGAGAGCGGTCATGCTCGTCAACAGCTTCCTTGGTGTGACTTTGGCCCTGCGATCAAGTGCGAATCTACGCAGGCCCCAAGCCAAAGAGGCAGAAAGCCGTGCGTGAACGGGTTGACGGGCAGCTAAATCAGACTGGCCCAGACGAGAAAAGGAAAACGGCCATGTTCCGACGGCAGTGCAACAGACATGGCAATGCTGGAGAACGCTTTCGAAGATCTCGTCCAAAATTCAGCGGCAGAACAAAAAGCGCGCTCGGAAAGTGTTGTGATGAAGCTTTGAAGCCAGAGCCAGCAACTCCCAAAGCCTCAGCGTTCCATCAAGTTCGTATGTCCGACCGCATGGGCACGCTCCAAAGTCCTTAAATGTGTGGAACGTGAAGTGCACGATCCTGCCCGCACTGTGTTCATCCTTGTCCACGTGACTTTCCTGGCAGCCATCAGCATCTGACTGCACCACTCACATGCGGGTGTCCGCCAACAGAAACAGGTTGACCAGAAAAATGCTACTTTGGCAGCCTGACGAAAGTGAAAGGACGAAAACGCGTTCTTGCAAGTAGGTCACTCTGTGGGTCCACACGAGCCAAATCACTGCAGCCGGTCGTTCGGCCCCTCGGCAGCCGACTTGCCCAGCGCACGTGGCCGGGGCGCCTGCAGCCCACGTCGGCCTTCAGCGCCTCGAAGGCCATGGCCTGCGTCACGTCGAGGTCCCGCTGCCTTGCAAGTCGGTACAGATTCCGCGGGTCCCGCACGTTGAAGTCGTCGGCCAGATCCCTCAGCGCCTCCATTTTTTTACGGGCTGTTGGCTGGGTTTTTGGCTCGCTTTTGGCTGGGTTTGGCTGGTTTTTTTGCTGGCTTTTGGCTGGGTTTGGCTGGCTTTTGGCTGGCCTTTGGCTGGCTTTTGGCTGGCTTTTGGCTGGCTTGTGGCTGGCTTTTGGCTGGGTTTGGCCTGGACCCTTTTTTTCCACTGTTTTTCAGCTCGCCTTGCAGAAACGCAGCTGCGGGGCATTTTGCAAGCATATCCTGCACGCAGCATTTTCAGATTTCGAATCCTTGTGCACGAGGTGTGTCAGAACCCTCCCAGGTGCAATAGAATCCGTTTAGGGAATAGCCTCTAAAGAGAGAGGGTCATACTTGCACCAGGCGCGCAAGGGCTTCCAGCCCAGCGCAGACCAGAAGCCAACCAGCCAGCCAGCCCCAGCCAAAGAAACCCAGCCAGAAGCCAGCCAAAAAGCCAGCCGGAAGCCAGCCAAAAAGCCAGCCAGAAGCCACATTGACCGCCTGGTTTTCAGCCAAAAAACCACCATCACCGGGCCTAATGCGGGCCTACTGCGGGCCACTGCCACGCCACTGCCGGCTGCCGGACTGGATTTGTACCCAAGCATGTGTCAGAAACTAACACGAGTGCGTCTCGGAGCTCCGAGTAAAAGGCCACACCGGGCCGAATGTGTGCCGATTGGGCTTCCGACCGAAGCCGCCCAGCCGGCCTTGCTTTCCAACCGAAGCCGCCTTCAGGTCGTGAAAAGGACAGGTGTCGCTTGTGCTTTCAAGGCTACCCACAGGCTGTGTCACGGAACGGCGGCAGGAATCAAGCCCGGCGCGGGGCAAGAACCCGCAAGCCAACGCACCGCTGCTCCACTGGACCAACAACGGCGGCGAAATACAATACATGGGAAGCCGGGCTCGATACCCTCCTTGTCCAATCCGACGAAGCCCGAACAGGCAGGAAGCCGGCAGACCTTGTGGCCTCTTCCAGGACCGACTTCGCGTAACAAAACATGTTTGAAGGAACATCCCCAAAGGCTTTGGACAACGGAGAGGTAACGGACAGCTGGCCCTCGCCCTGACGCCCTACGCGCAAGTGGCAGACCTGGCCGTGAACACGGCAGCATCCTTCAACAACACATCTTCCTTCACGACTAGTTCGCCGCAGAACAGCAGCGCACTGGCGCCGGCAATTGCACCGCCGGCCACAACGGACGGGCAGGTGGCTGCGCGCGGGAGCCACCGGAGCCGTCTCGGGCAGCTCGCTGAGCATCACGGGGGCGGCCCACCGGGATAACCGGCAGCACCCTCACCATCAACAACACGGCCAACGCTGGGAACTTCACCACGGTTGGAACCCCTGGAACATCGTGCGCACCTACAACTTGACCCCCGGCCGGGAGCTCCTCTTCGCCTGCCAGTATCGCCTTGGCGCGGCCTCCAACTTTGCGGCGCACATGTCCGAGGCCGACAACGTCTGCGCGGCAGCTAGATCTACTTCACCGTGCCCCCGAACAGGATCGCAAAGCTGCACTTTGGGCGCACTTCCAGGCCTGCGAACGGTGGACGTCTCCTGGACGCAACCCTGGAGGCCCGCAACTTGACGGAGGCGGACACAGCCCTGCTGCGGAAGCACAAGTTCCGTTGACGGAGGGGCCGACGACGTCACGCTTGCCACCTGGGCGCTGCTGGAGCCCACCCTGACCACATTGCGCAACTTCCTGGTGCGCTCAAGCAGCCAGAGCTCCGTGGCCTTGAGCTTCACGGGAGGCTTCGAGGGGCTACGCCATGACCCACCTGAAACATCGCGCGCGCCTACACCACCACAGCCTCCAACTTGGTGATGTACGTCAGCGCGGCCGACAACGACTACGTGGGCGTCACCGGCACCTTCCTCGGCACGGCCGCGCAGCACAGCGCGCCTGGACAGCTTGGTGCCCCCCGGGCGGAGTTGCAAAGCTGCACTTCGGCGCCTTCGGCGGGTCGATTTCCGGGCTGGCGCACCTGCACAGCTGCAGATCAGGGCCACTGCCTTCGAGGGAGGGAGAGTCGGTCTCCGTGACGGACCTGCTGGCTGTCACGGCTACTTGGCTCCAAACAGCCCCGCTTGAGCCAAACCAAAATACTCATCACATACAAAAAACCATATACAGATATATGCTCAATATTGACATTCCCTTATAAATACGACTAGGCTCGGGGGAAGTCTTGTCAGTCCACATGGACATATCCTTATCTCACATGAGATTTTGACACATCTTCAACGCGCAATCCACATGGACATATCCTTCTCTCACATGAGATTTCGATACATCTTCAACGCACAATCCCTTTAAAGGCACATGCCAAGGCTGGGGAAAGCGTGACAAAGACTGGTGGGAGCGAAAATTTCCGGCCAAAACATGGGGGAACCCACCCGCCCACCACTGAGCCAAATTTACGTTCGGTTGCATGAAACCCATTGTGCACTTGCACAAGCAAATACTATCACGCCAACCACGTGTAACCATTAAGAACCGAGGCTTCATCAACGCGTAAGGCAAACCGCGTACAGGCACAAATCAAGCGGGCCCCAAAAACCCCCCAAACATTAACAGGGGGGAGGGAGTTCAACGCACGCAAAGAAAGATTCAATCTTTTCATTCAGATTTGTTTCGTTTACAAAAAGATTTTTCTAGCTCTTTTGCCATTGGTTTAGCATCTTGGCTGGGATAGTGATGATGATGTGACCACCATCATTAG